CTTACAGTATCAGGGTCATAGCCTTTATCAACTAATGATGCCTTGATATAAGGCTTGCAGTTCATCCAGAACTGACGGACCAGTTCACATTCGTCAACATCCCTTGAGGTACAGCCTTCTTGTCAACAATACAGGAATCTCTGTCTTTGCACCATGTGAAAGTCCTTAGAGAACACATAATTAAATAGTTGTTTGAAGAATTTGGTAAGGGTGTACTTTTTCTTAAAATCCAGAATATCTCTTTCATAGAACCTGTAGGTGTGACCTCCTAGGTATTTCCCTAGCATGCCTAGGAACTGTTTTGTTGAGAGTTTGGCTCTGTCATGCCATTCTTAAACCTCGTGGACCCACTTCTTAAAGGTGGATGAATTTGCTTTGCCTGTTGTAAGTGAATGAAGCTTCATGTTTTAAAAAACCTTGTTGATACTTTAACAGGTTCAATCTACCATGATGCTCTCTTTGGTGTAATGATGGTCGTGGTGCTGGACTTAGAACCACGTATTTTCATACTCACATCAACACCTGAAACATATGCACACATGTCTGATGCACTTTCACACATGTCTGAGCCACTCCGCATCGGACCTTTGGACATCGCATCAGCCGATCACACTTCACACGCACTTGTCCATCCCGTTATAGAGACTCATTCCTGACTAGGCTTGTAGATACTGTCTTTACCTTATGTTTGCTATTTTGTAGCTTACATAATCAAGTTACCTCTTCACCAGTTTCCAGCACCACCAGTCAGAGTCTTAGTAGTTTTCCTCTCTCTCTGAGCTTTGAGCTTAGTACAGAAACCCTTTAGGGTCAAACACTGTCTTCTAGACAATGTAGCTAGGTAGCAAGACCCAACATTGTTTAGACTAACCATCTGAATTGTTGAACGTTCACCGTGTCCTGGGTATCTGAACTAGCCTCACTAGGTGTGTAGTTATTCCTGTGCACATTTTCTGACATTCAGACCGTGTTATTACATGTCTGCAGCACCTTGTGTCTTATTACATAGGAAATCGGACCCGAAAAATATTGCTACTATCTTCACCTATAGTATTCTGTATTTCTACATACTTACTTAAATACTCTGTAGTGACCCGTAGCAATTATCATCCAGTAGTAAGGAGCTGTTTCCCGACTCTGCAGATCACCCAGAATATTCTCATAGTTCTTAGTTGCATTGTGAAATATTACCATTCGTTCACCGTCATACTCCATCACTTGTTATACTCGCACATACTGCTCGCAATCTGACACTTGTTACAAAGATTCTGACCTATTATTGTGAAGTCCAAAAGTCCAAAATATTGGACATCACCCTTTGGCTTTGAACATCATTGGATTACCTTCAGACATTGTTTCACAGCTTCAGACATTTTTTTATTTGCATTACTGACACATTTTACTACTAATACCAATTAGCAATCCCTTTAGGATTGAACGCACTTGCTCTGCAAGTATAGCAGCATAGGTCGTGCTAAGATCTACCTAAATATTGTTGACTAGGTAGTACAATTTCTGCTGAGCCCAGCAGAGATTTACTCTTTACATCAGACAGCTTTTGTTTGCCTCTTTGTGCCATCTGAGTCACTACTATGGTCTGACTCTGGTTCCATAGCCAAAATGTTAGCACTAAAGTCATCAGATAGATCATTATTAGGGGTTCTTAGTGAAGTCTTCACATGGTTCTTTCGAGTGGTGAGTGGGGGGCTCTCTTTCTCATGTTTGTGGACTATTTTGATAGCAGCAAACTTAGTCCCATCCTTGTCGTCTGATGACTCCATCAAGGATCATTCACTTCCTTCATCTGATTTGGATGATGAATCCGGGGAGCTTGAGTTACTTGGATTATTCCTGATTATTACTCATTTAACCAAACTCTTGCTGGACAATAATAATGACACCCTTCAGTAACAAGTGTCACTCTTCCCAACAGGAATTTGTTGATAGGGATTTGCATCCTGGGGTTCTTTGCTGTCTTTGTTTGCAGATTCATTTTCAGTCTTCAACTATTATTTTGAATAGTTGTTAACAGTGGTAGTGATATGAACATTGGCAAGGTCATTTTGAGCACAAGTTCCAATAGTTTATTTGAGCAGTCTCTGTGCCATTTCTTTTGAGATTGAGCTTTAATAACTCACTTTTCCAGTTCTTGAATGTGCTCTTGCATTTCATCCATCTGCTCACATTTTTCAGTGAACTCTTCTCTGGCAACCTTTTGGAATTGTCAAAGGGCTATGTTCTAGACTCAGATAGGACCTCTTTGGTTCTCATCATCCCAGAGTTTTCTAAGAGACTCGTCAGAGTCATTGGAACCAGGTCTATTGAATTTGACCATTTCTTCATTGAATTCTGTTCAATTTTCTAACTTGGACTCCAGCAGGTTACCTTTATCCAGCTGTCCCTTTTCCATTGGGTCTATTCCCTTTACCCTTCTTACGAATTGGGAGTTCAAGAGTGCAGAGCTCATCCCTCAGGATTGTTTTGGGTTTTGGAAATACTGGTGAGTCTCCTAGGTTCTCATTGTCATATGAGTCTGACCAGTCAAATACTTCCCTTAGTTGCAGTACTCAATCCCTTTCAGGATTCAAGGTTGAAAGGGTGGGTCTAGGGGTCCCTTCACTGGAAGGTACAAAATGGATTTCATCATCTTCTAATATTTCTCTACTAATAGTAGGACCAAGCATAGCTCCTTGAGCTGGAGCGGAATTCAATCCCAGCTTATTCGAGTTATATAGACTGAATTAGGGAGGCTTAACTATAAGGCTGGCAGTCCCAGTAGTTACAGGTACAGCTAAGCTGTCCCAGGTCTTAGTACTCTTGAGTTCTTGGTTAAGAGTGTGGGAAACTATGCTTGAGCTTCTTGACCCAGTCAAGAAGCGAGATGAAGCAGTAGGGTGCAAACTAATTGGCATTTTTGTCAATATCCAAAAAGGTGTAAGGTTTTCTTTTTTAGAGATAGAAAAGTCAAGGTTCTGGAGGGTGATCGGGCCTTCTTGACAATGACTATAGCGAGGTAATAGACTTTAGATTTTATAGCAGTTAAAAATATAGTAAAACTTAGAAAGTGAATACATGTGATGTCGAATATACTTAGGCTTCAGATGAGGTAACTGTCCGAACTTAAGTTTATTTGTGAGGGAAAGATCAAATGCCCTACAAGTACTAAGTAAGCTGCTTATATACTATAGGTAGAGAATAGTATGAAAGAAAAAGGAAATACTAGAACTATGAGGGCAACACTGGATATTGGTTGCCATCACCTACTAAAGTAGTGTGATGACTTTTAGCAAGGGTCACAGGAAGGGATCTGCTTTTGAACTTGCTAAAACTTGTGACAAGAAGATGTTTATAGTTCTTGAGTGCACCTCGACCTCACATAAACCTTACCTATTTGGGTTGCCATACGCTCTTGGGAACAGCAAACTAATTAACTTGCTTTTCATCAATCTCTTACACTGCTAGTAATTAGTGAATAACGCTGAACATTTCTAACATGGTAACATAAGATATTGGCAATATCTGCTACTAGTACTGGCAATGAGAAATAACCTTCTTCTTTAGGCAATTGGGCATCCTGCTCACGACCAAACCTTTGCACTCATCATTGCCTACAACGAGCTTGAATATCATCTTAGAATTAAGTCTAGATTCACTCATTTCTTTCTATCTGTTCCTATAATATTAACTATAGCCATAGCCATGCATATATACCGGTATATCATTGTAGGTTCTTTATTTAACAATGTGCATGTGACTATGTGGCCTCTTTGTTGATTGTCAACCATGTTGAAGACATACTCTGGTATCCTCGTCCTACATAATGTCTGCAGCAAAATGTCAAAAGGGTGTTTCTCGCAAGGTCCATATCACGGGATTGATGTATAACAGATGATATTGCAATGATACTCTTGAACAACAGGCAGTAGCATGTGAATAGGTCTGCAACTCAAGATCATTATCGCATCAATACAACAGGTAAAGTTTTTCTCTACACTCAATATTCTGCTCACTAGTTTACTGGGCCTCAGTGCTGATTCTCTTGCTGCACTGGGGGATGTTCATTCACAAATCCCAGGCTCTTCAAACTATGCTGATGATGAGGGACCACTTGGGGAGTGGGAACTAGTCCCTGAGTCCTGGAATGAAGATGAGATAGTTGTGCATGTCCATCTGAGATTATATTGACAATCCATGAGTTCTAACTTAGTAGCATACATCCCTGCTGATGAAAAGATAGCTGAAACTACCATACACATAAAGATTCCTGTACATGGCACAGATGTATAGAAAATCTATATTCAAACCGGGCCCCACTTCTTTCTCAACTTATTGATCTGTTTCTTCTCTGGAAAGCTTCAAATTCAACTCATAGGACATTGATATTTCCGCATTCACCATCTGAATATAACTTTTACATTCCAGTTGTGGACATGTTCACACTTGACACCAAAGTCTTGATCCAACACGATGCAGACAGTCTGTCTCCCACTACAGCACTTGTTCATGTTTAATACTTGGGTCATGTGCCATATGCACCATCTCTTGCATTTTCACTACATACTTTAGAACATTTCTGACTTCTATGTGCCCGCAAGCCCTTGTTCAGTATCGAAACATTTGGGAAAGTATTATGTGATTTGTACAAGGTATGTACATGGTATTCCTATCATTCTTACACTGATGCTGATGTTTTACTAGATATCCTATTGATGACTATTATACATGCTTATCAGGGGCATTTGATACCTACCTAGCCATTCTCTGTAGTGTTGACAGGAAGATCAATGAAGCTCTTGACTACTGGCATGTTCTCAATATCTACCCCCCTTGCACTTATAAATTGGAGGGAGAGCCCACTCTCATCTTTGGATGAATGTATGTTCTTGATGACAGGAACTCAGCAAAACAAATGGCAGAAGGTGCATGTAATTGTGGTGATATGCAGCAGTATACTAAGAGCGACTACATTCTTCTTCACACTTACGTTGACCAGTTTGCCAATGAGGTACAACCACAAAATACAGTGGCACAATCAGAAGTCATTCCTGGACTTACTGGAAGCTGACTATCACGATGAAGATGCCAATGCAGACCTGTCAAGACACAACATTGCATCAGACTGCAGCAAGAACTGGAAGGCTGCTGCAAGTGACAAAAAGAAGCAGATGTGGAGCATTTTTGATGAAATGGGCATCTTTGTTTTTGCCTATCGCCATGGCCTTGTTTTGTGAGTAGCAGATATGGTTTGCAGTATGTTACAATAACATTTATGAATCCTACTTTATCTCTCTGTCTTGGAACTGTAACTGTTGCTTATAGAACAACATCTCTAGACAGTACTATGCTACCATCTAGACTCTAGATCTGTCTAGATTCTTTTATCTGATGGCCACCTCTAGACTTGGCCGGATCTCTTATCAAAGTGGGCTGTCTGCACTTCTCTTCTTTCTGATTATCTTGATTGTTGCTTGACTACTATTAACATGTGCAGCATGAACAGTCTTCTCTGTTTCACCTATACTTGCTATCTTGATAGGTTGTACTATTTTCCTATCTGTGACTCCTTATCAGATACAGAACAGCCAAAGACTTGTATCTATATAAACACCTATACTTTGTAGTAGATACCGCATCTTAATCTACTTAGTTTAACCTAATAGACTTCCTTGGTACACACTAGTGATTCTCTCTAGTGTATGACCTATTAGAATACTGCTTTACTTCTGAAAGAAACATCCTTTTCCTCTAGCTATAGGCACAATCTGTCTCCTAGACGATTGACCACCAACCTACTTCCCTAACAGAAAGGGGCTCTGCTGGTTGACTGTGGGAGCCAGTCTTGTACTAGACTACAAAACACCCTCTCTTCTTGATCTCTCCTTTATTGGAGATAAGAGAGTAGACCTATTCAAGTTCAATATTACACCATGTGTAACATAGTGGAGAACTGTGAGTTTTTGCAATGATCAACCATCTGTAGATTCTGACTTGCACATAGGGCCAAGTACCCCCTTGCAATTATATCTAAGGTTCTCAAGCTCCTCAGTGAGTGCTCTCTTGCTGTCTACAACATTAGCTGTGGGTTCACATCAACAATCTGTGCCAGTATCCTTGGTAAAGCATTTGAGCAGCAAGGCTGCTATATTTGTGTTGATGTGTTTCATGGTTATGCACATAACTACACTTGTCAAACCAAGAATCATCCGAATGGCATTCAAGGCACCGGCATCAAGAACTTTGGAGCCATTGAACACTTCTTCAGTGCATCTAATGCACTCGCTCCTGTCATCCGCTATGCAACTATCTATCACCACTTTGTCTTTCTTGATCTCTTCTTCAAACAATGGTACAATGACAAATACCTGAACCTCACCACGATGATCTACCATAACTACAAGCAATCTATTAACATTATAACATTGGAGTCTCTTACCCTTGATGATGCTAAGGCATCGCTTGGTATCCAGGTTGGTAATCTGGAGGCTTAGCATCAAGACGAGATTGAATATATTGCTGGTCTTGGCAAGGAGAACATGTGAGATATTCATACTATGGCATATGTCGAGCTTCTTCATACGTTGAGGGATGTGCAGTAAGTTATGTAGATGTCTTCTTTGTTATTTGTGTTAATCTATTATTTATTTTCACAAGGACTTGCACAAGCAATGTATCCTTGCAGTTTCTATCTACAATGCCATCTGACTATTAATTTTTGCCTTCCTCACAGGACATGTCATATTCTGCCAATGTGTCAGCTATGAGAAAAATTGAAACTCAATGTAGGTACTACTCCAAATGCCTCAATACACTTCAATATGAGATAGTCACCTTAGAGGTCAAGATGGGTATCACTCACCGGTGGCAGCCAACCTCACTGGAGTATCAAGAAACCATGAAATATATGGCAATGCACACCTATCAGTGTGCCCTCAATAACCTTCAGTGCCTAGTAGTACAGTGTCTATTTGAGTTGCAAAAGCTTAATATCTCTGAGATTGGTAAGTGTTTTGTGGCTTTCAATGACCACCTAGTAATGTGATTATTTAGCCTACAAAATGTGTGCTCATATCTCGAAGTCCCTTCAGACGCATTATCACAGCCATCAAAAAATATAATAAGGTAGCATCACAGCTCCATCCACTGCATACACTGCTTGAATGGTCCAAAGTGTTGTACTACAGTTTCCTCAAGGAGTTCAATCTTCTTCATGAGATACAGCAAGACATCCATGACAAGATGTGGGTGAAACCAACTATTCATAAGACAATGTGACAATGGCTACACATACAGCATGCAAAGGAGGAGATTGAGAGGTGCAATATCAAAGTCCAGCATTTGCATATGTCTATTGTGGATGAAGACCGGCACTTCACTTGTGTTTATTTATCACTTGAAGACTCACCTTTACATTTCGCTGTTCAAGAATTCTGTACACACCAGTGGCTGGTCAACTCCCAGCTCCTTGACTGCATCTTCCAGATATATACACTTCCTGGCTTTAGTGGGGTAGCCTCTCCAGGCTTAAGGAAGGGGCAAGTTGATCTCGATGAAGAGAGAGATGGTATGGACGGTATCCTTGTTGGTCATGAGCACAAGCATGATCATGATAGTGATGATGAAATCATTGAGACACTTGATGATAAAGGTGATGACATGCAGGATATCAGAACTTTAGTAGAATACTTGTTGGATCTTGTACTTACTCACTGATATGATTTGTATATGTACTATAGAGTAGATGGTTACAGTAAAAAATGATACACAATGGAGATGAATTGCATAAGATTGGATTAACTCATACATATAGTGTAGCTAGTAGATTACAGTAGAAAAAGCACTGATACACAATGGAGATGAATTGCATGAAATTGGGATCACTTGTATAGTGTAGAGTAGATTACCTAGTGTGCATGTAGTTCTAAGTAGATTATTACAGTAGAAAGCATCAATATATGATATATAATGGAGATGAACTACGTGAATTAGAATGACTAGTGATTATTACATCATCTAAACATTTGATCAACTCAACTTTGATGTGATCATTGATTGATCGTTTAATGTTCAATGTTGATCAGCCACATCTTTCTCTCTTCTCACCATCACTCAACACTTTTCATGACAGGCACTAGAAATAACCATTGGGTTGTTTTAGGCGGACCTAAACCTGGTATTTTTCTTAAATAGTGTGTATCATTGTCATGTAGTAAATACAACTAATAATCTTGTGCAATAGACCATTCATTGCTCAACTCAATAGTGCCCATTACTTCTGGAATTATCTCATACTGAGTTGGGGTCACACACTAAAGAGGATTACTAGTATATACTAGGTAGTTCTGGTTAAACCAAGTACCAGAGATATCAGGTAGTTCTGATTTATCCCAAGTAGATTAAGATGAGGTATCTACTACAAAGTACAGGTATTTATATAGATACAAGTCTGTGGCTGTGCTATGTCTGATAAGGAGTTACAGATAAGGAAATAGTACAACCTATCAAGATTAAAAATATAGGTGAAACATAGAAGACTGTCCATACTGTGTATGTTGATAGTAGTCAAGCAACAATCAAGATAATCAGAAAGAAGAGAGGTGCGGATAGCCCGCTTGATAAGAGATTCAGCCAAGTCTAGAGGTGGCCATCAGATAAGAAAAACTAGCCAGGTCTAGAAGAATCTAGAGAAGGCAGCAAGGTAACTGGTTTAGAGGTGTTCTAGAAGCAGTAGTTATGGTTCCAAGAAAGAGAAATAAGTAGGATTATAAGTGTTATTGTAATAGCAGTAGTCAAACTCAACTTTGTTACACCCCCTGGTGCACAATTCCCAATGGTGTTTGAGTGAGTCTTTGCTGGACTCACAAAGTGATCTTGCCCGAGTCTTGTTTCTATCCCTCCAGTGTGTCTCACATGTTTCTTCTTTCTTTCCCAGTTAACTTATTCATCTCCCATAGACAGAAGGCATTGGCGCTTTACGATCTCATTTGACAGGCCCAGCATATGAAGATGATGATGGAATCAGTTCTGATCAGGAAGACAACAACATTGTAGAGGAAGAAGAAGATGAGGACAAAGACAAAGGCCTCTCACATCTTTACCTCTCTCTATCTTTCTTACAAAATTAGACTTAGTGAGGACGAGGAAACCCAAGACACGCATCTCATGGTTGCACAGGGTACGACCTTTTGTTTGTACAGAATATTGGTGCAAGTGTGACTGTTCCACATGCAAGTCCTCCGATCCTCGCATTCAATTTCCATGATTGGAGATCCCAGACCTCAAGATACTGCCACCTTGCCCTTTTTCCATCAATCTTGCCTTAGAACTGGAGCACCAGCTTAACACTGAATCAAACCCAAACTTGCTTGTAAATGTCACAGGATGTCCTTATTCCCTGGATTCTCATATCCTTGCTTCAATCATTACTCAACTGAAACCATTGCTTACAGATGTTAGAAGTGAGCGAGATGAGCTCTCACAGACAGTTGTTGAACCATGGGCCCGCAAGGCAGGAATTGCAGACACACTTGGACATATGACAGAAAAATACTCGAAGATGCAGGAGGAACTGGATAATGCTCATACAAAGATTAAGGATGACGAAAACATGATGTCCATACTCAGGATGAAAGTCCAGGAAAGCAGGTTTATTTTTACACCTCATATTATCTGCACAACATGTCACTCACAGTGCTTCTCAGGCATGGCCTCATGCATCTACAGTATGAAAATCAATGGGCAAGTCAAGTGTCCTCAGCTCTTCACTCGTCTAGAGCGGACATTCCTTCCTTCAATGATCCGCCATCCTCTCAGTGTGCATCATTGATTGGATCAATAACTGGACCTGTTAGAGCGCATTCTGCTAAACACAACCATCAGTGTGCAGGATGTGAAGGCTTGGATTTCATCTGTAGACATCATGCTTAACCTGTATGATAATGTCAGTGGGTGGTCAGCTACAGTCCAGATACTTATATGTAGGTGACAGCCCAAGAGAGCAGTTGATCTAGAGAGAATTGAGGAGGGTGAAATTTGCTGGATGATCCAACAGTCAATTGAACCTTCACTGCACACCAAATAATGACAGCTTTTGCCTGCATATTTGGCATTTGGAAGAAACATCAAACCTTTCAAAGGTAAAAAGTATTTGATTGGTTTGAGGAATGGGAATGGTCACCAGAAGTAGCATGTATCATTATCTGCAGTTTGCAAATGACTGCATCGACATGTGTAGTAATGGTCGGTAGCCTGAAGCAGACACCAATGTTTTATTTGGCTAGTAATGATACTAATGTAAATACTAGTAATAATTATAATATATACCTCTATGGGAGTTTGGCAGAAACTTTGAGGTATGAAACTATCAACTGAAGTGTATGGAAATACACAAGAACACGGAGAAGCTTCTGGAACCAACAATATGGTTAGAACTTAAGGTAACAGATGGTGTCAAAGGTGCCAGATCCATAATATACATACACCTTCCAACGCTACCCTCATGACCATCCTGGCCTTCCCTTAGCTTCTTATGTGCTTTAATGGCCTCCTGATCACCAGTACAGAAGGAGGCAAGGTGTCTCCACTTCTGCCTTCTCATAATTTGAAAACTTGCCACATGGGCAAACAAACTTGAAGTCTGGTTCACAGTATATACAAACCTTAGACCCCCCCCAACAGTGCTTCACTGGCAGCTGCTGTGAAGCAGAATACATGCCAAGGGCTCTCCCCAGAGCTGATTTCCTATGATTTTGCCTTTGTAAAATGAGCATGTCACTCAGAATTAGGGCCAACAATGTTCACATCACACTTTGGACAGTATGCTTTATGAACATTGTCTTGACGTTGTAGAGACTCATTCCTGACTAGGCTTGTAGACACTGTCATTATCTTATGTTTGCTATTTTGTAGCTTACATAATCAAGTTATCTCTTCACTAGTTTCCACTACCAGTTTGAGTCTTAGTAGTTTTCCTTTCTCTCTGAGCTTTGAGCTTAGTACAGAAACTCTTTAGGGTCAAATACTGTCTTCTAGACAACATAGCTAGGCAGCAAGACCCAACATTGTTCAGACTAACCATCTAAATTGTTGAACCTTCAATGTGCCTGATGATGGGAGAGGTACATAAATGAATGTGAGTTAATTAGTAGAAATGGTGGAGAATAGAATAGGGCACCTTGGATTCAGTTAGCCTGACACTACATTGGAATGTCCCAACAAGGTCTTCTGCCAGTGGGCTGTCTGATTCATTCACACTGCTCGCCAACCTTATTCTTTTCAAAGGGCATCCTTCGGCAGGACCTCTATCTGAGTTGCCAAGAACATTCTCTGGGCTATCAGAATCTTCCAGGCTGTCTGCCTCGGCAGTGCACCTCACCCTTTTTGAAGGGTGTTCATCAGCCTGTTCCTATTTGAGAAACCTGACTAGGACTAGAGTTTGAGACAATGTACCTTGTAGCCTGTAGTATTTGTCCATGGAGCTGCAGTCTGCTGTTGCTTGCCACTGTATATGTGAAGCCACAAAATCTGATGATACCATATATTCACATACCGTTCATCCAATAATCTGAGCAGTTAATGCACCGCCATCCCCATCAGGAACACCACCAATTTCCCATTGTGGATGATCACCTTGGCCGGCAGGCAACATAGCCTTAAGACTGGCTTCAGAAGATAACAATAATGTATGGGCAATTAATGACATGGTGTTGTTCAGCTTGGCCAAGTAATGCTCCATGCTACCAAGATGATCCTAAAAATATTGATAGCTATATGGAGGTAGTGGATTGGAAATAGCAACTGCGGTGTAGAGATTCGCACTATTGCAGGTCTGCAATGCATTATACTTCAGTACATATCACCCAGGTTTGTAGCACCAACTCATAGCATCATTCCCCAGCCTTTTCCCAGCTATTTCCATATCGGTGAAGGTGAGGAATGATAACTATGCCAAAAGGAAGCTAAAGCCTGAGTGGGCTCTACAGCAATGTCTGGATGCGAGAATGTGTCTCGATCCAAAGGACAGCTACTGAGAGAAGTTCTTCTGAAATAAATGGAGGGAAACTTTCATCAACTAGGTGAGTGCATAGGCAGATGCGTGCGTTAGATGCACACGAAGGTGAGGTGTGCATAAGAGAAACATGTTGGTGTGACGCGTTTGACGAAATGCATTGGTGGGGCGCATTGGTGTGATGTGTTGGTGAAGCACGTTGGTGAAGTGTGGATATGCAAAGCATGCGTATGCGAGGCGCGTGCATTACAACAAGGGTTGTAATATGCAGATACGGAGTGTGAGTTTCAGGGACTTAGACCCAGGCCAAGATGCAAGAAGGGAATATATTCTTAAGGCTAGATACTGCCTTTGGTCAGAATACGTAGAGATAAAGGGTGCGTAAAAAGAGAGTCCTGATATTTCCACCGCTCCTTCTTTTAAGATAAAAATTGACTACGTGCAAATATAATAAGCGGCACATGCGAGTGCGGAGCCGAGCCGAGTAATGTAAATCTCAATTTATTGTCAGGGTCTAATGCAACTGCATAATGCATGGGTACGGAATTTGGACCAAAGGTACATCAGCGTGTGAGAATAACTAAGGTACTCACCAGTGAACCAGGGAGGACATGGGCGGACGGACAGTAGAAGTGCGAGGAGCTATAAACAAAGTGCAGATGCGGACGCGTGCACACGTGCAGCATGTTGGAGGCACAGGAAACACACTTGACTGATCCTTTGGATAAGAGCCAGAATATAGGGGAATAGTGATGGTATAGTGCCTTATATCAGACGGTGAGATGCACAAGTCTCTACATCAGGCAACACTTTCCTGCCTTCCTGCACTCGCACATCACTTGCTTTCCCACACTTTCATTGCCCTATCATCCAGGAGCATCCATCCACTGTCCAGCAAGTCTCCCTAGTATGTATTTTTGCTTTTATTCAATATGGCACCATATTAGAGCATGGACCCTGACTTACATACCTTATTACATACATTATCTCACACTTGGCTCACTTAGCGAGACACATATATAGGTCTGCATTTTTCACCCTTTACCACATTACACCACTCCTTACCTTAGTGGAGTTTCCCCATGATGTCCATTGCCAGATTCAGAATTTATTAGCAGCTTTTAGTAGTCATTCATTGAGCCTTCATCCATTGCTCATTACATTTCACATTTTTTGCTATTTTGCATTTTGCGTTCCCATGCACATCGCTCGCTTCACACAGCCACTGCACGACTGTGGATTTATCTTCCTTGCTTTTCCTTGTATCAAATGTGCTTGTCCCTGCAAGCATAGCAGACTAGGCATCACACTGATCACTATATCAGCTTCTTATGTCCCTCCCTTGGATTTATCATTAGACCTAGAGCTGAGTTGATTTACCTTCAGTGGGAGGAGTCTTCCATAGCAATGAAAGGGTCTTTCTAGAGGCAGACCACTGTTGGGTGTAAGATGTCTGGAGGGAGAGGGCCACTTCTGCATCAGGAACGTCCCCCCCAAAACCCAGTAGCTCCTACCAAAGGTCACAAAATAACATGGTTTGGTGAGTCATTGTATTGGTAAGTTGAGGATGATCTTGGTGTGCTCAGGCATACATTCTGTCACCAGTTGCTTGAGTATGGCCAAGTTGGCTATGTAGAACATCATTAGTTCTTGGCGACAGGATGTCAAAGATCTGACAATGCTCTGCAATTCCAGGAAGAATGTGTCTTAATGAGCTCATGTTCAGGCTAATATTTCCAGGAAGATGTTTGGCAGTTATTTGCTAGAGTATGCAAGAAAGTCGTTCTGACGTCCACTATTGCCTCATGCTGGATAGTAGGTAGCAGTGATGATGAGAGTCGATGTCCTCTGGAGCAAAAACCCAATTAATAGCCCAAGTGCTGATACTAGCAATAGATGCTTAAAATTGCCTCAGAACAGCTTCTAAAGGACAAGCCAAGAAATGCAAAGTCAACTTGTCATTACCAGAGTTCCAAGAGGACTTGTTGTAGTCCCCAATGCATGCAAGGTGATGGAAGAGATATATGATGTTTCACTCTCAAAAGCTGGTATCGACGATCTTGGTCCGAATTTCTTCTGAACCTCATTTTAGCATACCTAGAATCTGATGGAATAGGAAGTAAAAGCACTCCTTAAACTCTTGAATCTGTCACAGGTATTCCTCCCATGGCCCCTTGAGCGGAATAGGATTTCCACTGGAATCAATACTGAAGTACTTTTTGTAGAGTTTGTGGTTTGCCATCACAAATTTCAGCAGATTACAGGTGGCCTGCATCTCTGAAGCCAGAATTCCACAGCCTATGGCATGCTCATGAGGCTGGTTAACAACTTCTTCTGGGTTCTTGAGATGCTGTAGCACAGCATCACTGGTATCAAACAGAAGTCAAGTATATAGGTCATCTTTCAGTAGATGCTATAGTACATTTTGGCCATGGAGGTGACCAAAAGTGGTTTCTCATCAAATGTAAAGTCAGGGCCATCAAATGTGGTGAACTGAAGTCGAGGAAGGGTGATATAACCTATGCATAGGGCATAGCACAAGCGTGAATATTGTCTGATAGAGCAAAATGAGGTTCACATGCCAGGTTCCATCCACTGCTTCATGAAACTCATGAATGTTCTACATGTATGATGTATTTAGTGATTGCTCATGTAAGATAGCACTATACCTTCAAAAGTCTTCATGACCTCTGTCAAAATAGAGAACATGATAGCGTAGATTAACTTGGCCAGGTGACTGGAGATCAGATGCGGAGGAACAAAGTGTCCTTGAATATCAATACTGATAGCTATGATAAAGGAATCTATGGGTGAATGAAGAGGACCTCATAAATCATGGTTGGTGGTGGTAGTGAAAATGGACAGGATGATGAAATGATAGGCTTCCATCAGCTCAGTTTTGATAGAGCTTACATCAGTACAGTATTCCCTCAGCGCCTTAGCATGCTGTATCTGAATATTATTTAAAAATATAGGATAGGCAGCCTGATTGTCCAATAAATCCACATCTTTTAAGTCACCTTCTTTCACAGTTTGATCGCCTTCTAGCCATATGGTATCCTCATCTATCTCATCAATGAAGTCCATATCCTCCCAATCCTGAGGAGGGTGCATTACATCATCCTTATCTTTGCCATGATCATCTACCTCTTCCTCAGTATTTTCGTTTATGAGGTGAGGGCCTTCGTCACCTGAGCTCCCTATGGTCACCTCTGTGGATGCTGATTGAGAGGACAGAGCATGCAAAATCATCATGACCAGCTGATCACAATGGAGCCCATAAGTCTTGACGTAATCTTTTTCCTGCGATATTTGAAATGAGCAACTCAATGTTCTATTAGAAATTTTGGATGCTGTATCACCAGAAAAAAAATTTACTATTGAGTCCGCCAGCTAGTGAGAGTGTCTAAGAGGGTAGGTTTGATATCTGAGGTGGTGGAAATGGTGGAAAGATATCTCTTGCCCAACCCCTTAATACAAGCCATGTAATGAATATCCAGTATTTTGACCTTGGAGTTTGATATGGCACATAATCCAGGCACAGAGTATCCTTCAACTGCCTGAGCCCATCCACTAGAGGTCAAGAATAATGAAAGATCACCAATTAAAGTTGAGGCATCACTTTATGCTCCTATTACTGATATCTTACTCATCTGTTATATCAACTGAAAGCCATGGCTCAAGGGCTCAGTTTGGCTTGGCCCACAGCCTAAAGCTAGGCTTTGCACATCATTATTTGTGAACACTTACTCTAGTTTACCTAGGATGCAAGGCCTCTGGGTTACTTGAGTTTTCAGGTACTGGGGTGAAATATACCCTGTGCCATAATATGCTAGTTCAACAAAGTTGGCAACACTTTGGACAAATATACAGGAATGTGAATTGTTTGTCCTGGAGGTAGTGACAAGCATGCCATCCTGCCTGGTGGTGTATCAACACAAAATAAATATGGGGCAGTTGTATAAATACATTATTAAAGTTGGGACAGCATTTAGGCTGCCTGGTGGTGTATTAACACAAAATAAAATTTGAGGCAGTTGTATTAATGCATCATTAAAGCCGGGACAGCATTTTATTCTTTCAAGTCATGCATCAACATGACATTAAATTTGAGACAGTTGCATCAATGCATGATTAAAGTTGGGGCTGCATTTTAGGCCTACTGGTCATGTGTCAACACATCATTAAATTTAAGCCAGTCGTATCAATGCATTATAAAAGTTGGGGCATCATTTGATGCTCTCTAGTCATGCATCAACACATCATTTAAATTTGAGGGCCTCAGGTACATCAATACACACTTAAAGTTGAGGCAGCATTTAGACAGCCTGGTGGTGTGTCAACACAAAATAAAATTTAAGGCTGTCATATCAATGCATTATTAATGTTAATTCTGTTTCTTGCATATGCTGGGCATGCTAGTAGGAAGTGATGCATGATTTCTGTTTGCTCGCATCTGAAGCATTTTGGCAAGGGTGCACAGTTGATTCTTTTGAGATGCTGTTAAGACCATGCTCAAAGGGCAGATTCAAAGGGCTTTGCCTTCAGCTCATGCACTGTGCCCCTTACCCAAGTACTAGCCCTAATTTCTAGGTCGTCGGGAAATGACTACAGACTGTCGGAAACTATACTGTGAAACATCGGATGGAAAGATAAAGACTACCCTAGACAAAGTCTAGTGTAGAAACCAGCCAAGGTAGACCACCCAAAGGTAGAGTTGTAAATGTTTGTCTTGTGTCGGGAATCAATCCCAAAGATACAGAGGGGGACAGAAAATGAAATAGGCAGAGTCTAATTGTTAAGGTTATATGCGACAATGGAGCAAACTAAACAAGTGAATTAAATCTCAGTCTCTTGTCAGTAAGGACAGGACTGAGATGTTCATTCTACAACACCTCTCTTGATTTTGATGCTGCCCCTCCTTTGCATACTTCTGAAAAAGAATTTGCGACCTTGGCTGGGATGAAATGGCACAAGAATCTTACATGGTTCCATTACCCTAAGGTTTGTTATAACAACGGCTTGCAATGTTTGCCTGCCCTCATCTTGACTTCTAGTGCTGGACAGTATGTTCGCAAGAGAGATGATATGCCCACCAAGACAAATGCTATTGGGGTGCTTGTGACTGAACTTCTCCAGTGGTGCGCTAAGCATTCTATCGTGTCAGATAACATATTGTTCGCGCAGTTATCCCATGTCTCCTTGCCAGACGGTTGTTCTCTTTGTCTCAGGGATAATGTGCCTGCCTCTTGGGATTTTCCTGCGTTTTGTTGGTAGCGCCCACCCTTGCAGTGCCCCTCACTTGTTCGATGACAGCAATGATTTGGACTGTGAGCCGTAATCGATAAAATACATTTCACAGAATAGTCGCTACAGTACAAAGTACGAATAAGTAGTAGTTCTTACAAGTCTTTGTTGAATTCCCTGGCAATGGACAGTCCGAACTGTAAACACAACCAAGCATAGACGGTTGAAAGAGTTGGGAACTTGGTGCGTAAGCACTGTTACAATAGTTGTAGCCATCCTAACAATTCATCATCTCATCTTGTTTCACTTCTATTTCGTTTCTTATTGCACCTGAATGTAGAGTATATAAACTGTTATTTCTCTACTCTAATGGTAGTTGATCAATGTTGATCCCTCCCCCAAAAAAATTACAAGCTTAGTTCAGCCAGTTCTCCCTGCTTGATTCTTAAGTCTACCTCAAGTCAACTCAAGTCAACTCGACTCTCGTATGAACGCCATACCTTGGCACAGCATTATCACAGTTTGTCCTGTTCAAGATCGCTTGGAAAGGAACAGCCACCTATGCCTTCAATGAAGTCTTATCAAGGACACAGAATGGCCTTGCCCAAACAACACGATAATCAACCTGACAACAGTCACAGTCTAAAGCCTCAGTTCATGACTCCACAACCTGGACACACTGAAGGACTATTGGCAGTCTCAGCATTTAGCAACAGCTCACAGGGACCATTTGCACCCACACGGAGCTCCGATCATGGGGAGAATGCAGTCGCCATGAATTTGGCTGACTTTGGCTTCCGTTTGCCTAGATTATAAGTTCAGCCTTGGTAGGTCTTCAGCAAGGGTATGCCGCATATATTCTAAAGTTGGTTCTGAACATCATATTATTGTAGAGTCTCAGCATAGCGGTTAAGAAGGAGGACTACAGTCAGTGCATGCACACAATATGTTATCATTTGATGACATTTTTCCAGATCTCGATAGACACAAGCAGTTTACGATGTTTGGAAAGAAACCCTCTCAACATCAAAATTCCCTATCAAAGATGGCTGCAGAAGAAATCAGTTCTCAATCAGGTTTATGTGGCATTGAGAGTGATATAATCACAGAGGATCTGATGTTTTTGACATATCCCCATCTATGAAAGCTTTGTCAATGTACTGGGCTGACAGCGCTGAGTAGAACTTTACAAAAAGATTGTCTGGAGTGATGTTTTACAGCATGGTGTGCACAATAAAGTACTGTGCCTTTGAAAAGAGACGCTGCACCAAAACACATTAGCTATTCTTATTAGTGTGGTTCCCCTTACCTGGATGTGATTTCTTGTTATGGGCTGTAATTGTTCCACTGGATGTAGCCATGTAAGGGCAATGGTGACATTGGTGACCTTGTACAGTGTCAAGCAGCCAAGGTAGTGGGAGGAGAAGGTGCTGTTGGAGGACTATCTTCAGCTAAGGTGATTTCGCAGCCTGAAGTCTATTCCATGTGTTAGTCACTGCGGTGTCAACCACAGACTATTTGATGGATTGTGGGAGAAGCAATCTATGGTTATTAAATATGTGCCCTATGAGATGATCTGCCCAGACCATGAACCAACATCACTCACAGAAAAACAGCTTGAGGTCAGGTTGAAAGCTTATTATTAGAGATATTTTTTTCAGCTGGATGATGCAGCACAAGGAATTGTCACAGTTTACCTCCAGCATCGGTATGTCCATTGATAGGCCGGAAGAAAGTGGTAGTTTAGCACACTGCTACAGGGCTGACCAGTTAGATGTACATCCTACAGTGTCACTAGAAATATTGAATTGGTCAGTTCCAGATGGGGCACTAGCATCCACCCTGTTGTTATCTGCAGTCTGTGAATGAGATGTGAGACTAGAAGTGACCCTAATGTCATGTTGCAATTGACGCCCTGGTACAACCTCAACATTACTATGATGCAGCAGGCTTATTATCGGTGTCACTACTGATGGCTGTGATTATGGTTCTGGTGCTGATGTTGATGTTGATAATGGTATGGCAAAACCTTAAGACCCAGTCTCCTGAGGATCATCATCTTGAGCACCAGACCATTCTATTTCACCCTGAGCCACACTCAATACAAATCCCAGGAATGAGCATCAAAGGCATAAGACTTACAGTATTGTCACCAAAGGTTGTGCTCATATTGGCAGGTTCAAGTTGAGCCAGATTCACACCTACAGACTCTATGCTCTGAAGTAATTCACATTTTAACAGCTGAAATGGTGGAAATAGTTGGCATGTACTGATGAAGGGGAATGAATATGCTCAAAAATTAAATCAATTTCAAACACTTTTGAAGGATATCAATGAATTCACACCTTCACCTGACGCTGCACGGGTGTTTCTTAACTCAGACATGGCACAAGGAGTTCTTCAACGAGACCTTCAGTGCCATGGTATTCAGAGATTTTATGTCATTGTCTATGTATCTACACCAGCCATCTACACTACATGGTATGTACTGTATGATTTTAGATCTTCAAGTATTGTATTAATCAGTTATATATGCAGGGAAGATTGTCATCACACCGTATCAGATTATAACCATGCAAAGTTTAAGAAACTTACTACATTTGCTGAGGCCATAGCATGGATGATCCTAAAGGGGAAGAAACTCAAAGAGGAAGAACAGGTTTACACTACAAGAGCAGCTGTCTTATTAGGTACATGTGGCTACTGCATGTTTGTACTATTTAATTGGAAAACTTCTTAGAGATTCCTCTGAAGCTGACTTCAAACTGTCCTTAACATCACATGGTACTGAGACTATAAGATTGGCTATCTTACAAGGTAAGTACAGCTACTATTTGCTTGTCCTATTAATCGTAAAATTTACCTATCCCGGTCCATTTTTGACTCTAAATCAAGCTTATATGGGCAATCATCAGCCTTAGTTGGTGCTGATTTATCAGTCACACCTAAGGCTCCTCATACATAGAGAATGATGACTGCTGTATCAGTGTCACAAGCTATCAGTGCCCCATCTTGCATCCATCAATTCATTTGAGAGCTTAGTAGAATCACAGGTGCATATTATCAAGCCTCTCCTCATAATGATACTCCACTTTCTTTTTTTGGTGACATGGCTGATGGCTATTTGCAATCCTATGGTTACACTGCTTGTGCCATTCTTTGTATTGCACATGCAATGGAAGTCTCTTAGTCTGGGGAGGACTTTGTTCAAGATATCTCAGGAAGGGGTCTTTTTGTCACTGAAGCACAATGGCTGTGACAGATCATAACTGGTGACAATACCTTCTGATTCACATATTCCTACTTATCACTCTATGTCATTGTTTGAAGTCATGTAGCTATATACATAACTCATGCTAACACGAAAATTTCAGCATTTCTTCACCTCTTTACTCAATGTTTATTTGTTGTTTCACACTATGAAATCCAAAAACTGGCTTGGCTGCTATCATACAAAATTGCAGAAACTCACTACTCAAAAGCCTTAGAAGCCCTGGCACCATCACAGCAAGGATCGCTACAAGCATACCACCAGCAAAAAGGCTGCTCTGGAGGGAAAACATCTAGCTCATTGCATTGCATATGCCGAAGCTCTCAAGAATGCCCACGAGGTTGTGCTAGAGCAGGCAAAACTACTACATAAAAAATTTGGTAGTCATAGTGTTCAGTATTATTACAAAGAGCTTATGCAGCATACTCGCATGGCCACATCATCATGTAGTCTCTCAAGATGGAATGCATTTGTTTGCTGTGAGGTGAAACAGATAAATGAAGGTACATGTGTCTTTACTTGTTTTTGCTTGTCGTGCTCAATGTCTTGTGCATTTACCAGAATGTCCTCCTGGTTCTGCTTGCCTCAAAGCTTCTCAGTACATGAAAGAACTTGCAGCACATTGGAATGATATGTCAAAAGACAAACAAAAGAATGAGACTGTGGATGCTATCAAAGATCTCAAAGACCATTGTGAATCCAAGCAGCTTGCCCAATATAACATGCCTTTGAAAGCTTTTCAAAACTAGTGCTGCCGCGGTCCGGTTCGGTCCGGTTCTTGAGGGTGTTTTGTCGAACCTAGAACCGAACCTTGGGTCCGGTTCAGGCAAGGAGAGCGAACACTGGACCGGACCCTTATGAACGTGTTCGCAAACGTTCGGTTCGAGTTCAGAATGCAATAATATCAATTTCAAAAAAATTTGAGCGCGACATGAAAAAATCGATGAGTAACTACTAACTACACCATATCCACGACAAAGCATTCACGAGCTGCGGCAAACTCAGCTTGAGCCATCGTGGAAATATGGCCCTGACGATACCCACTCTTCAATAGTTGAAGGGCCTCGAAAGTCGATGGCAACAAACAGTTGCGGCGTGAAGTACTGGTGATCCCGCCACTTGAAAAAGCTTGTTTGGATGCAACAGCGGAGCCTTGAATAGCTAAGTAGTCCTTAGCAATGCGAGAGATGGTAGGATATTGAATTGAATGATGCTAAGAACATTTATGTCAACTTGTAAGGAATAATGAATCAAAAAAAACACTCACACCCCACCAAGCTACTACGTTCTCAATGTCCTCGAGCGGGGAAGCCAGGTAGTCCTCAAGTTCTTGACGAGGCCTTCGGCTTGCAGTGTCACTCGCACACGGATTAAGCGTCACATCACTGTGGCCGTACGAGCCTTGGCGTGAAAGAGAGGAAGGGGCCACAACAGCAGGCTCTGCGTCCGGCAAGGAATGTTGGTGATAGTATTTGTCAAAAACAGTCTGCAGGCATTCCATGCCCTTGTTGAAGTCATGGGGCTCCCATTTACTCTTCGCGTACGCAATCTTGTAGTTGGGGTCAAGCACTAGATACAATACATTAGATAGGGCATTATATTAATCAAAAAATTAAAACACTGTACCGAGACAAATGAAATAGACATCGGTTTCATCGATCTTGTGGTACCACTTGCGAAGATTGGCGATGCCAGAGTCAATGGCAGTTGAAAAGTCAACGAACTTCAAAGATGCGGCCATATTTTGCCACGTTTGTTGGAGGAATTCGAGCACCGGGATTGCACGCCATACAGTGGATTCGCGAGTTGCAGAGAACATTTGCTGAGCATTTGCAGGCTCCTGATAATGCAATAGGTTAATAAAAAATTAAATTCATCAATGACGGTGCACACACCTGAAGCACGTCATGCATCAACTCTAACATCTTCCATTCCTCGGCTGAGAGCTTGAATGTGCCATATGACTTGCCCTGCAAGTTCGGAACTTCGTCGCTATCGTCCGCGAGCTGTATAAACCTATTCACACCCTGTCGATAGAGTTAGTATTTTGTAGGGGCAGTAGCGGTGACTAACTGACCTTGCGTAACTTGAGGGTGCGCTCTAACATGCCAAACAGTGAGGCCCATCAAGTGCAAATCCATTTTAAGAGCTCGAGTTTGGGCTCGTTGACCTCGACACAGCACTTTTGGAAGAAGGTGCAGGCTTGGGGAGATTTCCGTACCTGAAAGAAGGGTTCATCAAACAGAGCTAGTTGGACAATGGATACAAACTTACCTGCGTGACAAACGCAAGCGCTTTCCCAACAGTGTCAGCGACCTCAAACTCAGTGGTCTCTTCATATTCATCGTCATCCTCGGTTGCATTCTTGTGGAGAGCACTTGCGGATGTGGGAGCGATGTCCTCGACGAAGTGCTTGGCTGCTAAGTGTAAGGCGTGCTCCATACAACTAAGTAGATGTTAGTAGATATAGAATGACATATTAAATAGACTTACTGCACACGGCGCTTGCTTGCAATCCAGTCCTTACCAGAAGGGTCAATAGTGAATGCGACAGTCTGAATCGCGGTGTCGTTATTGGTGGCATTGTCAGCGGTGAACCATCCAAGCTTGGTGCGAAAGTCGTATTTGTCGATAGTTTCAATGAGAATTCTTGCAATGTTGCTGCCGCTATGATTGCCGTTGATGATTGTGAATGCAAGCTGCTCGCTCTTCAACTCCCACTCCTGAGGTTTCCCATCTGGTGAGTCAATATAATGTGCGGTGACAGAGAGGAAAGGCACGCCCAGTTCAGACGTCCATGAGTCAAAGGTGATGGAGATTTTACTGTCAACGTGCTTGAGCTTCTCTCTGACATGCTGGATGGCCACCTTGGCCTGTTCGAGAATTTCATCACGAGTCTTTGTACGATGGGGGATATCCCTGTCTGAAAGGGAGGGCCGGAGGTATTGGAGTAAGCGGCGAAATGGTCCCTTATCAACGAGTTGGAATGCCTGTGTAATCTTAAGTCTTAAGTCACCATTATCAATCAAAAAACACGATCACGCACCTCATCCTCAGAGACGATTAACTTGACAATATAATCCATCAGCCCAGACTTCGTAAATTCGGGAATCTTAGTTGCAAGGGAGCCATCTAATGTTTGCTGGGCTCCTTTGTCAGATGCTTTACAGGTAGGTGGTATTGCACGATTGTGCATCTTGATGCCTCGCTCATTGCAGCGGTCTCGATAGATTGGGAAGTGGCACTTCGCGTTGCGAGCAATATGTGTGCGCCGAGTCGAAACGCTGCCTTTGAAAAAGGATTGATTGGCCAGTACATTATTAGCTCTAGAATTGACATGAGTACATATCTTTGTCACCAAGCATGCTGCTGACTTCTTTGATACATGCTTAGGTTCCTCCATTGCAGATATTGCAGTGTGCTTCAAGGTATTCTGTATAGTTGGAGTACAAGATAAGCACCTAATCATCTTCTTGTCATATCGGACTGAGCTCTGCACTGTCAGGTCTTGCTAAGCCTCACCTTCAAGAAGTTCTTGATTTCAAGAAATCTATTAGCAAGATGATTTTACAAAAGTTTCATGTCTTTTTTTTGAGACTTTTGTTTGTTTGTGATCTGACTTGGCCAATAGAGGCAGCAGCAGCCCCCACCAAAGTATCACACATGTATTACCAAAACTTCAACACCTACATTACTGCGAAGCTGAGGGTCATCATCAAGAAGTGGCCACTCCAGAAGTTCTGCTGCCCAGGGGACATCAGCTCACGTACTGAGCTCACTGTTTTGAGCCATGCATGAGAGTTGAATGCCACTCGCTTCTGCAAGCTCACAGACAGTGAGTTTAATGAATGGGATAATCAGCATTTTCAGACTGTAATGGATTAGGCAAGAGCAGAGAGAGATGCTGGGATGGAAGTAGATGGTGAAGTACAGAAGAACAGCATAGAAGAATGCAACAATGCACCTCTGCTCAACTCTGTTGATGGTGTACAAGTCTCTACCTCCCTTCCTTGCCAGCAGCAGATATCAGCTCATGTTGTGAATGTCATGACCATGGTGAACGGAAATGGTATTGACATACCGAAGAAGACTCGCAAGGAGCGCCATGATAAAGGTCAGAAGTATGGTCCTCAAAAAAAAAAGAGCCCAGGTCGAGCTGCTACGTTGCAAGGGTCTCCTAATATAGGGTCTTAGTCCATTTACACCATTATTGTGTCTCTTGATTTCTATGTGCTTATTTTGTTGCAAGTATTTACATATGTCTGTGTATTATCTAGCCTTGTCATGATAATGAATAGTATCTTTTTATGCTTAAGTTCTTGCAACTGTGAGAATAGTCGAGCTCATTGTAGGCAACAACAAGTGCAAAGGTTTAGTCATGAGCGGGACGATGATATATCAGCATATATGTATGGCTATGGCTATAGTTAATGTTATAGGAATAGATAGAAAGAAATGAGTGGATCTAGACTTAATTCTGAGATGATATTCGAGCTCATTGTGGACAACGATGAGCACAAAGGTTTGATCAATGATCATAAGTGGGATGCCCAGTTGCCTAAAGAAGAAGGTTATTTCTTGTTGCCAATACAGTAGCAGATATTGCTGGTATCTTATGTTACCATGTTAGAAATATTCAGTGTTATTCAACTAATTACTGGCAGTGTAAGAGATTGATGAAAAGCAAGCTAATTAGTTTGCCATTCCCAGGGGTGTATGGCAGCCCAAATAGGTAAGGTTTATGTGAGGTGCTCTTATGTGAGAAAATAAGCGACGAAAAAGGAAATTAAGGAATGTGTGAATTTACTGCTGCCTTAGGATAAAAAGTAACATAAGCGGAAAAAGCAACCGGTTGTTTTACTGGTGAACCGGGAACTGAACCGGTTCGGTTCCTCTCATTGCCCGAACCTTGGACCGGACTTTGGACAAATTCATATCTTTCGAGTTCGAACCGCGGTTCTGAACTGAACTCGGCCACCACTATCAGTAGCACTGTGGCAGTGACGGGCGCTGTGAGTACAATATATAGGCTATAGCAGGGCAATCAGAGTCCGCACACAATCCACTTATCTCTCATTCCAATATTAAAGTGTTATGGCTCAAGCCAACAAGTGAGTCCATGGTGTCTCGTTCAAAGATCTCTCATGGTCGACTTTCTGTGGAAAGGCCTCAGGAGTTTGAGACCCTGCAGTTGCACGCTGGTCAGGCTCCTGATCCTACCACAAACGCTCGCGCAGTTCCCATCTACGCCTCCACTAGCTTCGTATTTAACGACTTTAAGGTTCGTCACTTTACACCAAGTTTTGTTTTAGGGGCTGAACATCACTTAAATTAGCATGCTGCAGACCTTTGCAGCCTCAAGTCAGTTTCATCCACGATCATACAAGCGAATCCATCCTAATGGAACTTCATGCAGGGCTTCTGGACACATTTATTCTCGTATCGGGAATCCCACTGTCGTACGTAGTTCTTTCATCCATCCTTTTCTACAGCCAAGTTCTTCCTATTCGTCATTAGGAAGTATTTGAGAATCGAATTGCTGCCCTTGAAGGTGGCGCTGCGGCCGTCGCAACGGCCTCCGGTCAATCTGCACAATTCCTTGCTATCTCCACAATAGCCAGTGCAGGTGACAACATCGTCTCGACGTAAGGCCCAGCCTTCCGGTCCAGAACTCAATTCACATCTTGATAACAGATCATATCTCTATGGAGGAGTAAGTGTATCATTTTAGGGAATCGAGGTGTTGTTCTAACTAACACGTTCGCTCGAAGACTTACAGCCAGTTCAAAGGTCCGTTTGTCGGCATCTTACCAGCATCATGACCCTCACAGTGTGCAGTCACCTTCAAAAAGTTTGGTATCGGTGTAAAGTTCGTGGATGGCGATGATCCCGCGCTTTTCGCAGCAGCAATCGATGAGAACACAAAGGCAATCTTCGTCGAGAGCATTGGTAACCCCAAGTACAATGTTGCCCCCATTCCTGAGCTAGCCAAAGTGCGCACACTAATCATTGCCAATCGACCCTTGCTCATGTTAAGCTAACAGGTTGCACACGACAATGGTATCCCCTTGATCGTGGACAATACGTTTGGAATGGGAGGATACCTCATCAGACCCATCGACTTGGGCGCAGACATCGTTTGTGAGCATATATCTCACGTAGGTGATCCGCGGCTTACCTGTATCGTCAATAGTGCACAGTGCAACCAAATGGATCGGAGGTCATGGAACAACAATAGCAGGTGTTGTCGTCGATTCTGGTGCGTTCACTTCACGATCGCTTTCCATCTGTATATCTCATTTCTGTCAGGCAAGTTCGACTGGGCACGCTCGGGCAAATTTCCGTCGTTCACTTCTCCCTCCGAGGGATACCATGGCTTGGTCTTTCACGACACATTTGGTGCCGTCGCTTTCGCTATCAAGCTTCGCGTCGAGCTCCTCCGCGATTTGGGTCCAGCTATGAATCCATTTGCTGCGTTTTTGCTCCTTCAGGGTATTGAAACGCTCAGCTTGAGGGCTCAGAGGCACTCCGAAAACGCTTTGGCGCTTGCTCAGTAATTTTTTATGCACTCATCCACGGGGATACTCTTATTGTTTTTAGGTGGCTGTCAAAACATGAGAAGGTCGCATGGGTCTCCTATCTTGGCCTAGAGTATCACTCCTATCACCAGAGGGCGAAAAAGCTTCTCCGCCCAAATGCCTATGGCGGTGTCCTCAGCTTCGGTGTCAGAGGTCATGCTAGTGTGGCAGGCACGGTCGTCGACAACCTGAAACTAGCTAGTAATCTTGCAAACGTTGGTGATGCCAAGACCCTTGTCATCCACCCTGCATCGACGACACACCAGCAACTCAGTGATGAGGAGCAGCTATCTTCGGGTGTCACGCCTGATCTGATCCGAGTGCGTACCAACGTTTCTGATGAAGATGTTTTCTGACTGATTGTTTGGGCAGGTGTCCGTGGGCATCGAACACATCAATGATATCGTCGCAGACTTTGAGCAGGCTTTGACGCATGTGCCTTGATTTCCAAGGAGGAATGAAATTTGTACTGGTACTATTCCTTACATAGTAGCTAATCGGGCAAGTTCGCCAAAAAAGTTGTATACAATCTCTCACGTCTGCCAAATTCATCGAACGAAACGGTCGTATCATAAAGCACTCAAAAGTGCCATTCTTGGCCCATGTTCACATTACGCAACTCTGCAAGCCGAGCTTGACGAGTCGAACCTTTGAAAAATGAAAAGTCATGGCCTGAGGACAACTTACGTGCTACTGTTTGGGTAAATGCTGTGCGTATGACGTAAAATTCATGTTGGTGACTGGTGAGGTCCCCAAGTAGTGAGCATAGAAGACCATGGTGGCCTTTGGCCCTACTGCCATTTCCCAACCCACTTATTACGTCTCTAGACTTGAAAGTGCAAAACACGATACACTTAGCATATCTGGGCTTGCGTTGGAAGTACAGAACACGATCGTCCACGACGACTTCACAACACGGTGTTGGGACTATTGTCGATTCTGAATTTGGTGACCAGCCAATCGGATATTCCGGTACGCCACATGTCGAACAAATCCAAACTGACCATCTCAAGTTACTGCACGAATACAGACGCCGCGCCAGGCCTAGGTATGTATTCAAATGTAGAACTCGTACGTTCGCGCATCAGCACGATGTGCATTATATTTGTTGTTTCTCTCTTTGGTACGTCACTGGTATCCTCACGAGTAGCTCACTCTCCGCGATACTAGTGACATTTATTAGCATCATCATTTCCTTTACTCTCAAAGCGTCTCACGTTTCTTCAAATACCTCGCATCGTCTTTTTTATTGGAAAACACTTTGGAACAGGTGAGCGATCACTCAGTTTGGGATATCAGCTTCTGAGATTTGAACATTACTAGGCGTCATCCTGTCCACGGCCTTCGTTCATCTCCTCCAAGACTCTTTTGAGGCTTTGAGCAATCCAATTTTACGCTCTCGCTCGAAGATAGGGGATTTTACTGGTCTTATCGTGTACGTCACCCTTTCATTTCTCGCGTCCTCCCTGAAACAAATATATCCGCTCTACAGACTAATCTCGCTATTGGCCATATTCTTGATTGAATGTGCGTATCCATTGCCACAAAATGAGTCCTCAACTGATCAGCTGTCAGATGTATCCACCTCATACGTGGACCGGCTCCAGTCATACAGTTCACCGATTCAATCTCCACAGTCGTCTACTCCAACTGCGTCGACACCTATTTCTACGACACCTTCCCATCGCAACCATACGCCTCAGCCACAAGAAAGCTGTGCTTCCCAATCTGAGCGCACGCATCTTGTATCTTCTCATTCTCATTCCTCCCACAGCCCTCGACGTACACGATCGTTCTCGTATGGGTCTACAAGCCAGCCGCACAGGCACGATTCCTACTTCTTCGAAGGACATCACAGACACGAAGCCAGGTGCTCCCACGATACGCACCACGAACGCGGATTCAAGTTGTCGTCATCATATGGCCCAGAAGACTTCGAACAGGGTGTTGTAAATGACATTGTACATGACCGAGAGCTGCACGTTGAGCATGGGCATTCGCATTCACATACGCTTGATTCTGAAATAAAGGAAGTTCAAGTCGGAAAGAAACGGCAGATTGTCGGCATTCTCGTGAGTATTTACACTTGCTCATAGCCTTCGTGCATTAATTTGCTTTCTAGGTGTTGCAATTAGGCATCATGATACATTCCGTTATCATAGGTCTAACATTAGCGATCACTCAGGGCCCCGAGTTCAGTGCGTAGTTTTATTTGCTTTGCTTGATCGATATCGGATTCAAATTCTGTTTAAGCGTCACTCCTCGTGGCTATCATTTTTCACCAGCTTTTTGAGGGACTATCGCTCGGTATTCGGATAGCATCCCTTCCCTCATCGGACGATGGAGGCACCAAGTATATGGCCATTTTAAGATCTACTCTTATCATGCTCTTTGCATTTACCAACCCTGCAGGCATTGCAATCGGTCTCCTGGCATTCAGGCGGGGTCACGACGTCGGTACGTACCACTGCGATGTCTCATATTCTGTTCTGTTCTGACGCAGCCTCTAAGTGGAGATGCTCCTCATTCAAGGAATCATGTCTGCCATTTCCGCAGGGATGTTGATGTATGCCGCGTGTGTTGAGATGCTTGCGGGAGATTTTGTGATGGACCCAATTTTGTGGCGTAGCGGGCTTTGGAAACAGGCGCTTGCGTTGGTGAGCTTGGGCGCGGGGGTGGTGGCTATGGCACTCGTGGGGACGTGATGTGTCTGGATCCGATTGTTGTCTTATTGGGGGTAGGATACCCTATGTAGGACGTTTCTATCTAGGAAAGTGGGACATCCGTGTCTCTACTGCAAATGCCCCAATGGGGGGGGAGGTGATTTCCATTGGTCCGCCGTTCCCGCCGGCTGATGGTAGTAGTGGTAACATCTTTATCCTGTACAGTTACCTATATGTGGTGTATTTATTGTTCAACACTGTCTGAGCTTGGTTTGATCGTGGGTTGGACAAACTTCGGCGCTTCCCGGGCCGTTCACTCATGGCTGGAACCTAGGCTTGATCTAGGCTATATCATACCTCCCCACTAGCACAACATGCGCGTGGCATCCAAATGCAAGTTGATATCGTGGCTCACCTATACCCGCAAGCTCCGACACAGCTCTGGGTACCGTTCCAGTCGTCCGATATCAGCGCCTCAATCTACAAAAGCACTTCCAGAAAATGACTATCGACCTTACGCACAGAAGACGAAGACCGTCAAATAATCCTCCTGTCCGTAAGAATTGGTGGCTCACTACTCAGACACAGACATAACCTCTCACTGCTTGCATTGACTGACTTTCTCCCTAGGTGGCACCACAAAGACGTGTTGCTAGGAAAGGAAATTACGATGATCAGACTAGACGCCTATTGATATGCGCAGAAGCGTGTGCTTCTGGTCTTGCTTCTACACCCACCCATCCCACCCGCTCTGCATGCCTACCTGGACGATTATCTCACCATGCGATAAAGACTATGACCATCCAATGCGCATGAACATCTTTCGGGTCATGAAAACTGTCTACCGGATCTTGGACTCGCCAAACGAACCGTCTGCAGTCGATGAAGGAAAACACATTGCAACCCTCGGATATGCAGTGTCACAAGACAAGCCAGGACTTCCTGACCAATCGAGTGCTGTTATCCATTTCCGACTCTCCACGCAGTTTGTTACGCACTTTGTTGTCGCGTTCTGTAATCTGCAGATCGTAGACATGGTTCAAAACATGAGCTTTCCTATCCCATGCGAACTTATGCCGGTCATGGCGGACATCTATGAATTCATAGTCGCGAGGTCGACCTCCTGTCGTGGGTTGAACAGCCCAGTTGAGGAGTGTGACCTCGCACGTAGGATATGGAAACAGCTGCAAGCGGAGGTAAAGCTTATTCTACTCATCACATTTGCCATAGTGCGAATTAACATCAACTTTCTGTAGAAGTATCATAAACGCCTTTTACAACAAGAGATTATTAGTGACATAGACATCGCTTGTTTACGACCAGGCTCTCCGCGATGTTCTATATGCGACTCCAATCTTATCCACTGCAATAGCTGTCAGGTTGCATCGTGCGAGTCGGATGACTGTCCGGGATCTTCTGAACCCCCGCTCGCGCGGTGCGGCAGACATCAAAAGGAGGTCTTGTGTTTCCCCTGCCTAGATGAGCAGGGGTGCGAGGCGGAGCTAGAAAAATGCCCCGAGTGTAAATCGTGGTGTTGCACAAGGGACATGTCATCGTGTAGCGGTCATCCCATCGACGTTGAGCTTATTCCTGGCTTACCCGGCAGCAAGACCGGACTTCCTGACCTGATCGGCGCATATGCCAATTCCGCACGCGTTCACCCTCCGAAGCGCGGTTCTTGTATGGAATGCGAGCTGCCCGGATGGCGGAGTTGCAACAGCACGCAGTGTTGGTCTCAAACGATTTGCCCAGAATGCGCAGGCGGTGGTGTGACATGTATGTGTCAGGAAGTATGGGTATGCGACCCCTGTGCAGAACATAGTCCAGGGGTCTTCATTCGCTGTCCGCGCTGCAACCGGCCGTTCTGCTGCTCTTGCTCGTATATCGATGAATGTCCAGAATGTCACCGCACGAACCTCTGCTATGACTGCGCCGAAGAAGAGTCAGATGTGGACGGCGGGATCATGGCGGAACTTCCTAGATTTGTCGCGTCGTGTGGAAGTTGTCAGGCTAAGATATGCGATCGCTGCGTGTCGCATGCGGCTTTTTTGTGTGCGGGGTGCTTGCAGCGGCTTTGCCCGTCGTGCCGCAGGTCGCTGTGTGATGATTGTAAACTGTGGCTTGCGAGTGACGATGAGGATGGTGGAACTAGTGGTGCTGACCTTAACGTTTAGTACCCCACTTGTAATTTAGTGATTTTTGAGCACGTGACCTTGACGCGCACTCTACCTTCTATTCACGTGCTTTGTTGCCTGTCCATGTCATCCGCCACCCGACCTTTAGGATTTCGAGAAACCAAGGAGTATTATTATGACTGACGACATCGTCCTCATGCCAGCGTTCTTGATAGAGCAGCCAAGACGGATTGCAGAGATAACCGTCTCAGCTATGCTGGCCGCGGCTGGAATGGTCGTATTTGAGGTCCCGCAGGCGCTCTTCAAACTTCTGGGAAAGATTTCCTTGTATTCATTTGTCTTAACTTTCCACCTAGCCTTCGTGATCTATCACAGCACCAAACCAACGAATGAAGACGCAAAAGGATCTCAGAAACATGGGGACTCAAGAGTGTCAACTCGCGATTATCGTTTCTCATCAATCAGGCTCCTGAATGGCGTTCTTAGCGGACTCGTCTTTCCCAACGAGGGAGGCACCCCTTTTATCGCTAATATTTCCCGTCGACGTTCGAGAAGTCCGACTACTTCCGAGATTGCGAAGCACTCTTCGAGCAACACCTCTGTAGCAACGCTTGTCGAAGTAAGTCTTATTGACATACGAGTAGTTAATGAGGCTAAGTCTAACCTAAAAGCAGACTGACCCATCGAACGACACCACAGATGCCTACCCGACAACGCCAGTCCCCAGCAGAAAGCATGGCACCATTTTTCCCGATAGTGAATGGGCCACCATGAATGCCACGCAGATTCGCAGGATTCGCAGGGCCGTAAAGCGTGTTAAATACAAGGCAGAAAAAGGGCCGCCACCTAGCAGCAAGAAATCGAAGACAGACAAAGAAATTGTTGTGGAAAATGACCGAGGACACGAACAGGAAATCAGCGAGAAACAAGACAGTGCCAAGGAAAGCTTGATGAAGGACGATAAGGAAGATGACCAGGAATCTGTCAAGGATAATCACAACGATGGTGTCAAGGAAGATGGCCAGGAATCTGTCAAGGAGAATTACAAGGACAGTGTGAAGGAAGACGACACAGAGGACGATGACGAAGGCCTCGAAGGCCTCATGGATCACGTTTTCGTGTACGACAAAGAAGGTGTGGAGGAGAAAACCATGAAAAAAGATGACGAATGCATCAAGGAAGGTGCCGCGGTAGGCGACAACGAACTCACAGAGGACGACAATAGAGGCATCGAGGAACAATTCGTTGGAGGGAACGAAGACGTGAAAGAAAATGTCACAGAAGACGACAACGTCCGCTTGGAGGAAGATTTCATGGAAGACCACGAGGGCAGCGAAGAACACGTCACGAAGGTCGACAACGAAGGAGTCGAGGACAATGATGCGGTATACGACAGCGCAATCGTCGAGGAAACGTTCACGGTCGGCGACAACGAAGGTGTTCATGAAGGCGTCAAAGAATGCGAGTACGAACGCGTTGAAGATAATGTCCCGGAAGAGCCCAACGAGGTCGTCATTAATGGAGATGACAACGAAGGCCACACGAAAACTGCGGCAGATGGTGCAAGCAGATCTACACCTCCAACACACCACCATAATCTCCGTCAGCAGGACGACGTCATAATGATTCCCTCGCTTATCAAGGGCTGGCCCCCGGTCTTGCTATCAGAATCCATCATCGATAGGCTGGACCCTATCGATTGCAAGATCATGCAGTTGGAATGCGAGTATCACCTGTTTCGCAAGAAACTGCACAACGACCGCTTAAACGCAATGGAGGGAGTCCCGATAGAGAGTACAAGACCACATCGGTACCCCTCGAACTTGCTGGAGAAGATACGATCGAAGAAGTAGATCTGCCTTGATGCACATTTATTTGCGAAATGTATTTTGTGACTGATGTTGATGTATTGTTAATATTTTCCTTCTTTCTCTGATCGAGCCTGTACAAGTAGTCCCAGGGAGAGCTGTCTTCAAAATTGCCCTTCTGTCGGCACATTCGCCGTCGGGATATCTAAAAAAGGACTTCCTGCTCAACCTCTGAATATCGCAACTTGAAAGAATCGTTGCCAGCAAACAATCACATGAAGGATCTCGATCATGCCCAAGTGGGCACCCTCCTTCCACGAACAACCCCAACGAGCACTTCTTCACCCTTCAAGGCCGGTACCGAGCTAATGCAAGACCGTGATGGTTTAGTCGTCCCGTGAAGCCTTAATCATCGTTATCCTTCAGGCATGCCCAGTTATCGTCCCTCTGGAACCATACCATTCCTTTGGGAAGGATGATGGTCTGTAGGGTTGGGCACGCTCTGCTCCATGCTTCCGCGACGCTCTTTTCATCGTTGAAGGAAGCAGGTACACCTGGCGCCATGAACGTGATGTATCTCAGGGCCTTGAACTGCGCGAGACTCGAGCCAATCTCGAGTAGAATTTCCTGTAAGCAATAAGCAAACGAAAGAGACAAAACCATGCATGAGATGAAGAACTAACATGGGTGTAATGGGTCATGAGAACCACAAGATGGAAAGCCTCAAGATAAGGTAGCCGGTCTGCGATGAGGGGAAGGAGTGAGACGGGAGGGTCATTGTCGAAGCTCATGACAGTGAGCCTCTTTATTGCTGTAGCTGATAATAATAGCGTGTCGAGGGACGTACAGACGTCCCTGGAGTAAAGCGACATGGAAACACTCTCCACAGGTCTCCCTCTCAAGACCTCTCCGATAATGCTGGGGTAAGACAGAACGGTCCTAAAATGCCCCAGCTTCGGAAGTGCATGAGGTTCCAGCACAAAGTCATACTCCTCATTGAACCCTCTCAGACAGAGCTCTGTTATCTTCGGTTGCATAGCTAGAAATTTCGCCAGCGAGCGGTCGCACCGCATGGATGAGGTGAAGGTCGTAAGCGAGAAGGAACACCCCTGGAATATCCATGCGATATCAGCAGTGTTGTCTGTCTGTGAGAAGTTGAGGATAAGCGTCGTGAGCGATTTGAGTTGCCGGAGCGCGCGGTTTAAGAGGCGGAGGATGTTGGCAGTGATGAGGTTGCTGGCAAAGTCGAGATCAATAGAACGGACATGTCGAGAATAGGTGGCATTAAAAGCAAGGGTCCTTATGAGCTTCAAGGCTTTGACTGATGACGTTTCTGATATGTTACGGTAGACCACACGAAATGCGGTATTGTGGAATACGGAGTTGGTGCTAAGGACTGGGACGAGTTCACTACATTCCAGGTGATTGAAGATGAGCTCAAGGATCTCGACAGGTAATACGGAGGATATCGAGTGAACGCTGTCCATGATCAGGACTCCCTTGTTTTTTTAAGTCGATTGGTTGATGAGGTAAAAGATACTCAGTCACAGTATGATTATTATAGTATCACGGCCACATCGGGTTTTCTCCACTTCGCAAATTAACCTTTATATATTGATTATTGCACGTCTAGGGGGTATTGAATAGATGCAATCATGCAAATACGTCCATATTATCATCGTATCCAAATCCATAACCCAGTCACTGAACTTTGACAGTCTTTGGGGCAGGCATGCTCCCCTCAGCAATAGCTTCTGCGCGTTGACCCTCGGCCTCAATCTCTGCAATAAGATTGCGTTCAGCTTCTTCACGCTCGGATTGGCTCTTGTTCTTCATTGCTTCCTTTTGAGCAGTGATGCGCGCACGATACTCGCGGTATTTGTTATCAGTACCAAAAATGCGGTCGCACCACCGGAAAGAAGTGGAGAAGTTGTTCGTAAAGGCCATGTGGTGGAAATCATGATGCTCAGCACCCGACCAGAAGGGGATGATGTGTTGCAACGACCAAGGGAAGTCTATGGGAAAACACGTTAGCACTGACGATCGGCTACTATGAATAGCTACCAACCGTAGCCACTGTGAGCATCAATAGCTTGGAAGAGACGAAGGGTAATCCAAATATAGACCGTGAAAATGTGCAAGTTACGAGTGTACCAGCAGTACAAGATGGGTCCAGCAATGGTGCCGGTGCCAAGAATGAAGACTTCAGCAGGATGGGCATATTCAGCAGCAAGGCCGAAAGGTGCTGAATACTTGTGATGAATCTTGTGAATATGCTTGTACAATACGCCAATGTGAAGTGCCTGGTGGGCTGTAACAATACTTTATCGTTAAGGAGAGCAACGACATCTCAGGATTCACGCACCAAAGTAGTGGAACATATCTTCAAAGACAAAGAAAATAGCGATTTGCGGGAACATGGTCGTCCATGAAGGGAAGGGAACCTGCCAAGTACTCATACCAAAATTCTCTGCCATAGGGTGGAATAACCATATCTTACGAAGAAAGAATTAGTTTCGAACGTCAGACTGTCAGAAAATAGGCTCACAGCTGGAAGTTCAATGGTGAAATGCGAGAACAACACCATTTTCGTACACTCCCACTGCTCTTTGGGAGTGGGGACCTTGTTAGGCTGGAGCTTCCAACGTCGGAAATATGGTATAGCGTCGATGATAATCCAAGGAATAGAACGACCAAAGTATACAAACTGAAAACATTGAGCAAAAGTTCATGAACTCCGAATAATAAAACATACTTCGTGAAGCAAGAAACTCATGAGGCCCGTTGCAATAATGGGGTTGTCGATCCAGATGTACCAAGCAGCCCACATCTGCTCAAGCCAACTAAGTTTCGTGAAGTCAATGTTTGCATAGAGCTGCTGAGTAGTAGTCTGGGCAACAGCGGCGACAGTCGTCGCGTTGAAAGTCATGATGGTCGAACGCAAGAAAAGACGGATACTCGAACTCGAGCAACTACGCGAGTTTTTGAAGGAAAACAAGTGAAAGTGAAAATAACTGTTTGAAGAGAACCACACCACTTTGGGCGCATTAATTTATGGCGTGAGCCGTCGGACAACAAACTTAACCAATCACAACCGGCTTACATAACCCGTAGCCCATATTCATTCCCATCAGGAGTCGGCCGCCCTTCCACACGTCTTCCATCTGCTTCCCAGTACTGCTTATTTATTCAGACCAATAACACAAAGTGACCTGGCTGCAAAACTAGGTCCGGTGGTGTGTGTAAATATCTTTATTGACCAACATGGTCTTCGTCAGTAATTGCTAGTTCCCTCTCGCGATTATCCTTCAATGATACTTTCGCAGTCGTGGGTTATGGAGGCCATTGGCAGCGCACTACAGAAAATTACGATCAAGGTATAAGGATGTAGCCAAGCGAAGTAAGTACTGGAGTGGTGAAACGAAGGAATAATGGTATAGTAATGGTATAATAATCGATAATCTACCTCTAAGGGAGTTCGATGGCGCATCTGCCGGGAACATAAAGCTCGGGCTCCCCCCGCGAATTTTGGCGCACCCTGTACGGGTCCCTCTCCAATGGGTTTAGTCGAGGCAAATAAGGCGTTGGTAGTACAGGTTCATGTTCTAGAGTAAGAGAATTCTCCACCTCGTACTCCTCATCTGTATCATGGTCTTGTTCGACTGTGTTGACCGGCTTGTTCTCTGGGGGATAGAAGCATCGTGTGGGAACTGGAAATTTTTTGACCACTTCAGGCGGCGATGCAGGGGTTTCCTTGAATTTTTTCCGAGGTGAGTCCTGGCTGTTGGTCTCATCTTCTTCAACCCGAAGTTGTCGTTTGCAGCTCTTATGCGCGGGCGTAAGAGCAGTCCATTTCCTAAAAATTACACGTTAGAAGAAACTGATTGGATTCAAGTGGGTTACATACCTTGATGTGTTATCTTCGCCGCTGGAATACTCATCGTCTGTGACGTCCCCCCGACCCCAATTGGGGCTACTTAGCTGGCGCGAAATCCCCTCTGGAGAGGAAGTAAGACCCTCATCTGCGGGAAGAGGCTCAGAGCTTTCCCTAAACAACACATCAGAACTTAAACATTCACGGGAGTTGAATCAAGTTACGTACCAAGGATTGGCTTCGCTAGCGCTAAAAGACTCATGCAGGTACTGTTGAGGGTGGTTTGGGCTGCAGCTCGCGGGTGGAGACTGGGATCTTGTGCTAGAAACTACAGGTTAGAAACAAACAATTGGTGCAAATTTAAGTGAGGTACGCACCGAGAACCATTGTCATCGCTATATTTTTCGTCTTGCGGGCCCTCCTCACGCTCGCTAGCACCGCTGCCAAAATCCTCCTCTTCCGCATCTTGACGATCCATTTCGCCCTCGTCACTGCCGTTCGAATCCTCATCATCTACGTCTTGTAGTTCCTCTTCATCTTCGTTGTCCGAGCCGTCACTATGGGCCTCCAGCGACTGCTCGACTTTCCTAATCACCTTGCGCACAAAGTTCTTCCCAGCGACAGATCCCAGGCGGTTCAAGAAATTCTGCATTTTATCCCTCTCAGCCTTGAGCTCGGCGTCTGCAAGAGTGGCATCGGCCAGAGCTTCAGCAGCCTCTGTTCGTGCAAGCTCGAGTTCCTTGTTGACATAAGCACGGTTGCGATGAACGTCGGAGACCATCTGTGCAAACCACGTAGGGTCGTTGGCGAGAGGAGGTGGAGGGGGGTAGGTGAATGCCATGAGAGGCGGGTCGAGCGAAGCAGTAGTATCTGGGACACGTGCATCGCAAGATTTGTCGCCTGGTGGCGAAGGGAATCGTTCGAAAGGGTACCCGGCCCACGTATCACCCCCAGATTTTTCAGAGTCGGACACGTCCTGATGAGCAGAAGGATCGATGTCTTTCTCCTTGCCTTTACCCTTCGGGTCTGAGGTTGCGGCAGTTGAGGCGGTTTGTGCTGGGTTCTGATGTTCAGCGTCGATCGACATTACAGCGATATTCTGTGGTTAGCTTTGTAGGCTAGTAATCAAGTGCAGGTGAAGGTACAAATTCAAAGTCAAGGAGCACTGGATGGTTTAAAATACCTATAACAAATCATCCACAACGTCTTTTAGCCACTTGTGGTGGGCCACAGCATCGGGCTATTGTTTAGTACAAGTCCACAGCCTACTGTTCACGGAAACCCCTAGGATCCCCAATAAATGTGGGTGTTTGTGGGACTGTTACCTTTTGGGGATGTTGTGAGACATAATATCCGACTTGCAGGTTCCATCAACGCTATTGTGAACTTCATTTGGTTATTTATTGTACTCCGTGGGTCAATGCTACGGCGTCAATACTCGGGATGGTGCGTACCTTAGACTTCTTCAACTGCTGGTCATGACTGAGCTCTCACAGTTCGGATGCAGCCATAAAGCAAGACTTGGAGCCCGGGAACGTCGGGTCAAAAGATGCGACTCGCAGTACTTATTCAATCAAATCTTATATACAGGCTCAGCCAATACTCCTGGTTGTCATTTTGCTGGGACAACGCGATGCCAGTATGCTATCACGGTAGTCTGGCTGGCCATTTCCTCGCGAATTTAAGGCTTTCGATGAAAATAATAGTAATCCAACAGAACTTAGCGTATCTTCAGTGACAATATCTCGTCATTTAGCATCAATCAATTGCCAACGAAGCATAAGTAATAAGAATCAAATCAGGCTAAACAGACAGAATCATTGGGAGGAAGATAATTGCATATATAATGAACCAAAGTCCAAATACATGATGTTCGAATATAAGTCCGAGAGCGCATCAAAGGCTACGAACGTGCTATCCTACAGATTAATCTGACAGGGGTAGCGTTGGAAAGCCGTAAATGCCAGCAAAAGCATCGACAACTGGAATCGACATCATACAATGATACAATGAAATGATATCAGTCATGGCGCCATGAGAGCAGGTGGCCTGTAAAAGAGGTTATACTGCGTGACTAATTCTTCTGCAAGCTTGTTGATTAAATTCATGCCAAGATCTCCGCGGCGAAGGGGCTCTGCAAAATAAGGATCCGTGAGACTCGCAGGCATGAGTAAATGAGGTACGTACTAGTGATATGGTCGTCCATACCTACCTGTAGGCATCGCTCGCGATCACCAATCACTAAAAAAGTAAATCAGCGTATACCATCCCTAAGCCGCATCGATAATGTAAAGTACTAGCATGAGCAGTGAGGGCGATGATAGAAATCCGTTCCTTTGTGCATCTCATACGTTCGGATGAGCTCAGTCGCCTCCATTCCTGCCATGAAATGCATCGATGCATCAATCTTATGGAGGTATATTACTATGTGAATGAGCCATCGAATAAAAAATGACCAACCAAGATAATGTCAAACGGCTTGCTCACTTGTACCCGTGCCTTGTATTCGACAGCTAGACTTCCATTCTCTGCAATCTCGAATGTGTGGTCGTGCTTCTCCAAAATTTGACTGCCAGTTTCTGGTTAACTCGGCAAGCAATTGAACATCATTTGGTGCCGAGATAGATGAGACAGTATTCGACTCCAGAAAGGGCGGAAGCAAGGTCTTGAGGTCATCACTGAAATTCACTTAGCATGATATGACAATATGTGGCCCTTTGATGATATTCTTCCTGCATGCACTGGCAGCACATAGGCAGTTATAATGATGTATCGAAAGACACGCGGATGCTCACGATTTCCACTGTTCCTGGCTTGAACGATTTCATGATACCATTTCCTGTAGAAAATACCTAGCCATAGTCATCAACAAAAAAGCCTGATAAATCGTAGACGAAGTACTAGACTCTGTAACAAGCCGGTAACAGCCGGTGCACAATTGCTGCCATTCCTACAAACGTGACAGATTTGTGTTTGGACTTGCAGAAATTCCGACAGTTTTTGCTGGCGGGCGTTGCCCACCACATGAACTCCAAAAATATCGTTGTTTGCAAGACCGGGAACCGAGAGTTCGATGGTGGAAAGAGAAGAAGAATTACCTCAGTAGTTTATTAGTACTATAAGGGTTAGTGTGCCGAGTAATACTAATAACGCCAAACAACGCCAAATCGGCAATATCAAGCAATTTCGCTCTAGCTATTGTTGCCTGTCAGTGCCGTCGTCGTTGTTCAGTAAGAGCATTAAATTCAGTCATGTCATCCGCACCAGCACCTTCGTTTGATGGCATTGGTATCGCCAACCTCCCCAACCAGGTGAGGAGTTTGTCCTGACATCTATCTCATTTTTACTGACTACTGTGCATCTCCTTCCACGCAATTTAGAGGCACAAAATCGTTGCCAAACATGGTGCACACTTCACCATGATGGTTGTTGGTGAGTGCAGCGCGTCTATGATGAAATGAGTCTTTCAGCTTATCTGTTTACGCGCCAGGCGAGTCGGGTCTCGGGAAGACGACTTTAGTGAACACGCTTTTCACGACCGAGTTGTCTCCTCCTAGAAACTACAGCAGGCGGCACCACAAACAGCTCGACAAGCTAACTGAAGTCGAAATCATTAAGGCTGAGCTTGAGGAAAAGCAGTTCAAGGTCAAACTCACCGTTATCGACACCCCCGGTTTTGGTGACTATGTCAACAACCGCGATTCCTGGTCACCAATTGTTGACTTCATTGATGACCAACATGAGGCATACATGCGCCAGGAACAGCAGCCCCAGCGCCACGAAAAGATTGACCTCAGAGTTCACGCTTGCCTCTACTTCATCCGGCCCACTGGGCACACGTAAGTTGATGTATATTTCTGAATCATCATCAGACCCTAACTAGATTCTTAGCCTGAAGCCGCTAGATATCGAGATTATGAAGCGCCTCGGCACTCGTGTGAATCTCATCCCCGTCGTTGCGAAAGCAGACACCCTCACGCAAAATGATCTGTTCCTCTTCAAACAACGCGTCCGGGAAGTTATCGCCGCCCAGGGAATTCGCATTTACCAACCCCCCGTTGAAACCGATGACGAGACTGCTGCCGAACATGCGCGCATGCTCACTGATGCCATCCCCTTTTCGATCATTGGCTCAACTGAAGATGTCCAGACCCCTGATGGTCGCCTGGTCAAGGGTCGCGAGTACCTTTGGGGTGTTGCTGAAGTTGAGAATGAAAACCACTGTGATTTCCGCAAGTTGCGCTCCCTACTTATCCGCACTCACATGCTCGACCTCATTTCGACCACGGAGGAGTTGCACTACGAGAACTACAGGCAGCAACAGATGGAGACGAGGAAGTTTGGGGAGCCCAAGGTCAAGAAAGTGGACAACCCTAAGTTCAAGGAGGAGGAAGAGTTACTCAGGAAGCGCTTTACCGAACAGGTCAAAGCCGAAGAAGCCCGCTTCAGACAATGGGAGCAACACGTAAGTGAACTCTAACTCATCAGTAACACCATCTCACATCCCATAGCTTATCGCCGAACGGGACCGTCTCAACAAAGACTTGGAGATGGCACACAGTGCCATTAAGTCGCTGGAGGCCGAGCTCGACAACCTCCAAGCTGGCTATGGTCGCGGCAGCGCCAGGCGGTGAAAATCGGATCCCAGTGGTTTTGGACAAATCTTCGCTCCATATACCCCAAGCTCTCGCTTGCGCTCGCTTCCACGCTCTCTTCCGCATTGTACCTTGCTGCCCATACGACGAACATTCTTTTAGTCGCCTTGTCTTTGATTTTCTTTCTTGATTCGGAAGTTTCGTTATACCTTCTCGTACACTGCGCTGACATTATCATAATATCGTTGTTTTTGCACCAGATACCTTGTCTCGAAAGCATATCTGGATGAGAGTGATTTTTTATAACGCCCATGAAGTTCATTGGTACTCAAGTACTCATAATATGAGAAATCCGTTAAACTGAATGAGGTTTGCATGTACTATAGGCCGCATCAGAGTCACTGATGGCCTCGACGATCTAGAAACAAGACACCAAGACGATGAGTATGTATATTCATTTCGACAAAAAGCAGCGGGCTTAGAAACCGCTTTCTGTAATGATGTATGACGATTTTCGGCATTTCCAGATTCTTGTGTTGCCATCGAGTTTTGAACTGTTCAGTGGTGGTGGAATGCTATCCGAATTTGACACATGTACAATAGCATGTTTACCTGCATGGAGTATATTGACACCCAAGGGAAAACAGCACGGATGTCAGTGCAGGACACTGAGGACAGTTCCAGATGGGTAGCACTCCGATGGAGAAATCGAGACTAATTTCGTATTGAAGTACATAGCAGGCGTGTGGATCATTATAGGATTGTCCCCAGAAGCGTGAACAGTGGCCGGGAGATCATCGATCGGCATCTGAACTAGCGATGAGACCACGATATCGGCAGTACTTGCACTCATTCGCAGTTGCGCAAAATTCCCATTCTGGATTCCAAACGACGCCATATAAAGTGAAGTAGACACTGACCTCAGAAGGGCAGATAGAGTGGAATAAGGGAAGGACCAATACTATATGCTTAATGACGATACCAGGCTACTGCGGTGAAGCGAGGAACAGTAAGCTGGACGTTGAGCACGCGCATGTGGGCAGCACCAACAGGCGCTACGACTAACTCGCTAGAATCTTCGATGAAACTTGAAGGTCCTTCGATAAGTGATTTGTCAAAATCGTTCCACCATCCATACGACAGAGGCTTGACAGCTTAGCCCGGCCTGAAGTCGAGAGGAACCCCAAACTTCGGATCTGATATCACTGTTGGCAAGTACCACAGATGCAATATAACGATATTAGCTCGAAAAAAATCATTGAACTTACATTCTGTAAAACAAGATACCTGCCATAATGATATGCTAAAGTTACCATGCCGTCCTCAATCCTCAAATTCTTCAATGTTCAGGAGCAGCATCTCCGAGTACCTTAACCATCACAATATTGGATAGCAACTAGTTGGTACCAGGTACGGGTTCTTTTGCGATGAAGAGCCAAGCTTGGCTTGGGTTATTTAAATTGTCAACCTCTAGAACCTGACAAAGATATCAATGAGGAACACGCTTTACAAGGAATATTCGAGGCCCACTTGTGCCGCGTTCGCAGTAGAGTCATTGTGTACAGCCAGCGCCTTTCTAGTGTGGTTGTCCACGATACTGTGTTCGAGAAGCTAACCTTACTTTCGTTGTAGAGAGGGACTTTGTCACCTACTTCCAGGCATATGGGACTGAAGTGTTTTGTTGCAAACTCCACGGATAAATCGAGCTGCTGGTGACGACGCTGCCAGCGGGGGTGTCGGATTTGTTTGACTGGTCGAAGGAGAGGAACGCACCAGTCCCAAAGGACTGGATGGTCACCCCACACAATTCAGTGTTCGCTACGTTCCACTGCGAAGGATACAACCAAACGCCTTGTGAAAAGCATCGAGTACACGCACGATGTCATTTCCCAGGCGATTTCCAACACTATTGACGATGTCAGCCGGAACAGGCTGGAAAAAGAACACATTCAGGTAGGTGCGAGTTGTGGCATTCATGATAATATATGAGCCTGTAGGAATAGTGATGGACATGTTGGGAATACTTGAAAGACTACTTGAAGCGTGCGCCGCGGCCGCCTTCGCTGTAGGAATTATTAATTATGTAAGGAAGAGCAAACTTCAAAGAGCGTCACGCTGGCTCTGACTTCAAAGTTTATGACGCCTCGATGGTTGGACATTGTCACCGAGAGGGATGGCACTTGTATAGTGCAGAATTCCCATGAGCATTGGTCCCTAGTTTCTTAGATCATACTATCAGCATCAAGAAGCATCTCCCAGGGATCTAGAATATATCTTTGGCTTGACACAGGCTGGAGAATGGCGGCGGCGTGGAGGTCGAAAATCATATTCAGATCTCTAGGGCCATGGCCTCGTAAAATGGTATCACCACGATGTCACTTCGACATAAGGTCAAATTCAACCCAGGCCTAGCATTGCAGGAACGTTGACTAGCTTCACACCAGCGAGGCTTTCAGGAACCTGCAGTGCATGCATTTCTTCGAACCCCGTCGCCATCACAATGACGCGACCATACTACTGCTCTTCTACCGTCACAACGCTGGGCCGTTTATTAGGATGACTTCATGAAGCAAACGGTACTGGCAGACGCCTGGCCTTGTCTTGACGTTAACCGTCCTGCTCTTCAACAAGACATACGGATGACCCACTGGGGGTTATATCGGCCGGGGTCATCAGATTCGTGAAGCTGTGCCCTTGCAGGCTCGCTTGATGGAACTCTGCATTCATTTTATGGTCAGCCTGCCAATAATGTAGATTTTGACTTTGACTTTGACTTGCACACCTTACATGACCTCCGCCTCATGCGCCGTGACTCGGGTATTTTAGAATATCTCATGCCGAGATTCCCTCGCGCTGAACAACATATATTGGATTCTTACCACTAGAGGTTGGTCACGGTCATGCTTGTAAAAAAGCCTTTCCTTAAATTCATCATCGACTGGTTTGAATCTTGATTAATTGATCGGCCAACTTCTCCGTAGATATCTACATCCCGCAGGGTGTTATAGGACTTTAAAGTTGTCTTTCAGACTCCTTGTGTCCTCTGACTCTTACCTCCTACGCCGTAACGCGAAGCTGTAAACAAATCGTGGGTCATGAGACTGTTCTCTCCCTGTGAGAGTTGTCATGCCTTAGGATGTGTTTGTGGTGCAGTAGCCATCGTGCCGGTCAACGCATTGGCTCAGCCCACTAGTCAGTGACTCTGCTTACATGAGTGTGTCCATCAACGCACATCTTACATCTATGGAAGCCAGGACCACCGCCAGGACCCTCTACATCAGGCTTCCGTATATAGTATTTCAAGTTGGACAATGACCTTCAAGCTTCAACACGATGCTTGCTTGTGCAAGCTATACTTGACCGGTGACCTCAAAATTGGAACATCACTGTATGTCACATCATCTCAGACGCAAGTTAACACTGAATAGCAGTGGATGTTTTCCACTTTGTAGCATGTCACAGTACGAATGGTTCTAACATACTTAGATTTTTCGATGGTCCACCAATGTACCATCCATTGTGCTTGCTTGTCCCTGTGGGCTTTCACTCACGTTTCGATTTAAAATGTCCTTGGGACCGAAACACCCTCTCAAATACATTGCACCTTCCTCCTCCTAATGACTTCAGCAATATCCTCTGTCAACACAATGCATCGCGCTCTCCTTCTTTATGAAATTCTCTCTAACATCATAAGCTACATCACCATCGATGACCGTCCTGGTGTTTGGCCAGTCGAATATGTCACATCTTCTACACCCACATTATTCGCGATTGCATTAACTTGTCGCGCGTTCTCGGAACAAGCATTGGATGCCCTCTGGAACAATTTCAAAGGAGTTGAACCGCTCATGCGATGTGCTGGGATCATTCCAGCTCCGCAAAAAAGGCGGCAAGAGGACAGATACTACCCCATCGTAAGTCTTTTGTAGGAGAAATACACATGTCTCATTTATGTCACAGATCCTAACGGAAGCTCAGTTGGACATTATTGCTCGTTATGCACATCGTATCCGGTCTTTAGAAGTGGGTATGGATTATTGGCAGCCTGATTATATTACGCAGTCGTTCCTACGAACCATTGGTGGCTCTTCCAAGGTTCTGACGCCAAATTTACGAAGCTTGCAAATCGGACGTGGATTAGTCCATGTGGCTCCCCCCCTGCTTGGCCTGCACCTGCAGCATTTATTAATCAACATCTCCGACCACAGAGATGACTACTATTTGGACGCAGTCTTCCAATGTTTGCCTTCATATTGTCCATCACTTGAAAGCCTCACGGTTTCTAAACCTCATAACCTATTTCGCGAACGGAATGCACCTTTCGTTCTACCATTGTCGCATGCTATCCAAAAAATGTCAAAGCTGCGGACGGTTGACGTGCCAACCATCACGAAGGATGCTCTAGCTTATCTGGGTGGATTACCGTCCATCGTAGATATCTGTTTGCAACTGCCCACTGGCAGTGATCTCGAGTATATTCTTGGTTCATCTCGCGGCCCCAATCTCTTTGAGAACGTTGACAGCATTGATTTGGAGATCAGAGATTGGCCAGACGTTGAAGTCTTCACACGTCTATGGCCTCGTAAACTCACCTCGATAACACTTCGATCTGAGGCCAAGTTTGATCCAAGCCTACTGCAAGGACTTTGTGGCTCGCTCCATGTGCGCGAAGCTTTCAAGAACCTGCAGTACATACACTTATCCGAACCTATACACTGCCGGTTGTCATCAAATATAGTCATCACCATCGACACCATACGACCACTCTTCTACCTCAGGCAACTTCGGGTCGTGGATATTGACACGAGATCATGTCTTAGCATCAGTGCGAATGACTTGTTGGAAATGGCAGAAGCATGGCACTACCTTGAGGTGTTGTTACTCAACAAGACGGATGGGAGCATGTCTGGCGCAGCACCTGTGCCACAGTGGGTTACAGTGACCGAGGTTGTCAAATTTGTCGAGCTGCGCCCTAGCCTGAAGCAACTTTGCATTGGTATCACGCTCAGTACCGTGGACTATGACTATGACATGGACAAGGCAAGCCTACACGCCCTCAAGCCGCGTGACTCGGATAGTAGGTTGGAATTTCTCACACTGAGATACCCTCACGATGAGGAATACATACGGACGACTTATTCTTCTGAGTTTGGGATACTTTTCTCAAAGCTTTTCCCTCGGGTGAAGCAGTTCCACCCGTTACAGGAAATCCGAATCCTCCATCCTGATAGCATAATTTCACAAATTCAACACGCTTGACCTGGAGAATTGAGCTTGCCCTGTACCGATCTTGGAACTGCTTTTGTTGTACATATACAGCGGCCATCCTATACCTATAAAGAGATCTATTTATATCTAGAGGATTTGATATACCCACTGATCCTGATCTTGTTCAAGAAAGTTGTTATCCACTGACAATTTATTAGTGTTCAGATTTCAAGTTGACAACGTTGAAGTCAGGGTCATCGTTGTATTTGTATGCCAACAAGCTTCTGTCCTGCACCAAGTGCCGCGGTACTTCAGTCTCAACCAGTTTCGAACACAGCTTTCACTGTTCAATACTTGAACGTTTGAACATCTGAGCATTGGACTAGACGTGCATGACCAGCAAATCTATAGGAGAAACACTCCATCCACTGGCAGTGCTGCACACCTATGCAGCACACCTATGCAAAGCGCACTGTTAGACACAAACCTGAGCAGTTACCAGAGCGCTAGCCTGCAGCGGCTGCCTTCAAATCTATCGGAGTGTGCAACGATGAAACTGCTCTTCAAGCAACTTTTCCGTCTGCGCAGCGCTTTTTCAAGTTCAAATGTCTTGTCTTTTCGGGTCGAGGATCCTATGTTGGACATAGCCCTTATGCGCAGGCTTACTCCCGCCTATCCTAATGTATCAAGTCCGCAGTGCTTGTGCTCTCTCAGGTGGCTGTATGCTTGATATCACCCTTTGTAATCCACGTAGTCCGCTGTGGCTCATAAGGTCAGATAGTAGTACATGCCTCAGGTGGCAGGAAAAACACTGAACTTGTATTCGACACTGACGATCTCAGGCGTTTAAAGTCACGATTGTAGAATGTTAAAAACCCCCAACGTTCGACACTTCTCAGTCAAGTTCATCAGTGCCAGAAAGATGAGTCTTCTCCAAGGACATCAATCTTGTCGATAATCAGGTGGCAATTAGTTGGTACCAGCTAAGGGTTCCTTTGCGATGAAAAACCAATCATGGCTTCCATGGTTTGTTAGTCCCAATTCCAGAACCTGGAAATAACATCGAGGGACGCAATTTAAGAAATGTCTGAGGCGTACTTGTGCAGCATTTGCGGCAGAATTATCCTTCACTGCAAGCCCTTTACCAGTGTAATGGTCTACGATACTATGTTTGAAGATTAACCTCTGATTTGCTCAGAGATTGGACGCTAATTTGACACTTACTACCAGGCATACGGGATTGCAGTGCTTTGCTGCAGACTCCACGGATAAATTGAGTGACTGGTGATAACGCTTCCAGCGGGAGTGTCGGTTTTGTTTGATGGATCGAAAGAGAGGAATGCACCAGTCCCATAGGATTGTATAGTTACCCCACATGACTCAGGTTTTCAACACGTTCCACTGTGAAAATACAATGAAGCGTATGATGATGAACGTGGGGTGAACACACCATGTCATTCCCTAAGTGATTTCCAGTACTATTGACGATGTCACCTGGAACGGGCTGGAAACCGAGCACATTGAGGTATGTGTGCGTTGTGGCATTCATGATAACGTATGTGCCTGTAGGAATGGTAGACATGTTGGAATACTTCTGAAGAACTTGAACGCTTCATTCTGGAAATGGGGGAAGATGATGATTGGACGTGTCACGTGTCCGAGGTAGTACCTATGTCACGGTAAAATGTATCAAGCTGCATGCCAAAAGCCTTGACTTCTATACATTGCAAAGCTCGAGATCTTCTGGTTTTTAATATTATTGTTTGCGCTTCAAGCCGAAAATTTGAAATTGCTAATTTATATTACACCACCAAGCCTTGACCAGGTCGATTTACTGGGAAGCCATTCCTCGCATACGCATGCTTGCATGTACTAATTAGCTTTACTCGGAAGGGCATTCAGTTCTCGATCTGCATAACTTCAACATCATGATGAGACTGAACTCATTCACCCCAGACCCGAAAGTTCAGGGCAAATGCTAAAACAACCAACCTACTTTAGAATGTCAAAGCACTGTTCAGTGAATATCATTTACAACGAATGTAAATAAAATGCTTGAATGGTACTGTAAGAGCACAAGTGTAATGATGGGTATGATACAAATACAATCTTTAATGACCAGCCGTCTGTAGTGCAACACATCACGCATTCCGTTGCCTCACACGACCTTCGCCAACAATCTCATCACGATCGCGAGCCTCCACTCTACCTTACGTTTCTCCAGCTCCCCTCGTCTCCGCAAGCGCATCAGAATTATCTTGCTCGACCGCGTGTGCCTGCGCAGACTTCAACGGGTACGCAAACTCCTCGCCCGTCTCGTCGCAGATACGCCTACCCCAGTCGTCAAGCCCGTACAACTTGAACGGACCGTTGTCCAATTGTACCCCCTCAGAGGTATACGGAGTGACAACTTCCTCCTCTGCAGCCATCTTGAATCCCTCCTTCAATTCCTGCGCACGGGAGAACCAATTGCCAATTCCGACACCAATAACACGCTTGTCCCAGTCCAAAGCCTTCTCAAGACCCTCCCCGTCCACACCTCGTCCTCGTTCATCAGGAGAGAACCGGATGCCTACGAAGCCACCACGGGCGCCAGAAAGCGCCTGTGCCATCGCTACCGCGAGGTCTTGCATACGGTTCAGACGGAGGTTGCGCATGCGCGAAGATAAGGAGTCCGAAAACTTGCGCTCCTCAGGCAAGATGGACGCATAGAAAGGAAGGCCGCGAGGAAGGGCACGCGAAAGGCGGACTAGACTGTTGGCAAGGGGTCTTGTAGAAACTGTCAACGTCAGTAGGGGTCGAAAAAAAGGCTCTTGTGCAAGGGTTGGGAGGTATTTGGCGCGGATAGCACCAACATGATCGTCCGGCTCGCCTTCGGAGAGCCCTGACAAGGCTTCAGCAATCTCAGGAGCAGGTACAGGCTGCATGAGACGGTTTGGAAGCGCTACCTCGCTTGCACGCACAACAGCACTGGTATGCAGACGACGGCTCTTCATGGTCTCGGAATTCTTGTTGTCCGCATCACGGGCGCGTTGCCTGCTAATAGCACCCGCGAGGCCTCGCTCAAGACTGGCGCTGTCAGAATACTTGAACTCGTTGGCGGGAGTCGGAGGAACGAAACCGCTCGGGTGTTTAACCGTTCCGTCAGGCTCCCTGATTTCAAATGGAACCTTATGAGAACGCGGGCGCGTACTCGCCATGGCGGAATGCACATGATCGAAGTCGGATTCGAGGACACGTTCAGCTACGGAGGCTGTCTGTGCAGTGCGTTCTTCGTCTTCATCTCTCTCACGCTCTTTGGCGCGTGCAGCATCACTGGTGCTTGAGTGGCCCTTTCCAGGAACGACAAACCCGCTCGGGTGCACAAGATAGCCGTCCTTGTCGTAGTGCTCGACAGGGATCTTGCTGACAAGGCGGCGTGTACTGGCCACAAGGTCGTCGCCAAGAATAGAGTCGGAGAGGTGTTCCATGAGTGCAGACTCCTCATGCTTGCGTCTTTTCACAGCTTTAGTTTGTCGGGTCGGATCGTGAGCAGCTTCTTCAGCTGCCGCAACATCAAGGCCAGCAGCAGTATCAGTGGCGGATGGAGAAGTGGTAGAAGGTGTGACAGATGATTTCATCAGCTTGTCCGTCTGAAGCTTGCGATCTCTTTTGTGCTTGATGTAAAAATTGGGAACGATGTGCTCTTCGTTGTAAGACTCAGAGGGATAGGGACGACGGGCTGATGAGTGGAAGGCTCGGACATGTTTCCCAGTCACGGTGAGCTTGGGCAAAATCAATCTTCCTTTGTTGACGGCCGCTTCACCATTCTCGCCGCTGAATGCTGAAACATCTTCAGCCTTGTATTGGCTGTCTTCAGTAACCCCCCTCGCGATCTCCTTTGGATCTTCACCAGGATTCCACCACTTGACACGCTTTGTACGTGCTTGCGCCACCCAGGGCCAGCGGGCGTTGTCCATGGTTTCGATTGCCGGAGAATGGGCAGAGTTATATTTGGCAAGGACATCTGGGAAATCACATTCGCGGCAGACGCCGACAATATGCTCGAGGGAATCAGCACGTCCTATACCATGCTTGGTTAAATGACGAGCTTCCAGAAGGTAGACGGTGTGAGGAGTGTAAGCTGCAGGAGAGGGTGCTTCATAAGACCTTTTCTGAGCATCGTAGGGACCGTCCTTTGACCAATACAGAGCGCGTAGGTCACGGGGGCGGGTAAAACCTCCCATGTACCTGGTGAAGAGGAGAATAATTAGCACCAAGGAAAAATATGAGCATGATGAGAAGAAATACGAGCAAGCGAGGATAAATGGAGACTGCGTGTCTCAAGGTTACGCGGATGATAACGGTTCCGAGAATAACGTCAATGACATCATGGAGCTAAGCCTGGAAAGCTAGCCTCTGGCATGGTAAGGCGCCGCATCCATGGACTCGTTACAGACTAAGGAAGAACAACGCAACAAAGATACTCACGTCTTGACTGGAGTCAATGCCATGGTTATGTCCATACGTTCGTCTCTCTCGGCCTTCTCGATGCGACGCTTTATGATGCGTGCCTGCTCTTCTGGTGATACGGGTTGGCGTTGTGGTGTTATACCCTTTGTAGCCTTCCAAGGTTTGTGTTTAGGTTTGGCAGTGCTAGCATACCGCTTAGAGATTCGCGGAATCATCGTGATGAGTCTGTAGCGTCCTAAGATGTGGTGAATGTGCTGGTCTGTTGTGGTAAGCAAAAGACTCCTGTGGTTCAAACAATATGGTCGTCAGCTTTTGGTGGGATTTTTATAGTGTGACCCACGAGCTGATAAGCAACCAGTTGTTTGAGAGAACCACCTGGAAGTGGAGCTAAAATATGGGGTGTTTAGGTTTGTTTGGAACATCATCCGGGTTACGGTTCGATTTGCCGCTTTGCCGGGAGGATTTTCAACTTCCGATTCGAGTATTGCACTTATGTAATTTAACTTTGTACCCTAATTTAATTCTACCACAGCCTGCGCTCGCATTCGGATACCAACGCCAAGCGTCGCCTGAAACATATCCACGAATATCAAGTTGTTCTTGCTGATATAGATATCCGATCCTAATGCAGGCTTCGATAACCAGCGGTAGAATAAAACTAGGGTTTACAAAAAATGAATTACATAATGAAGCAAACAACAATCGGAAACTGAAAATCCTTGCCAACTGACTCCTATTATTACCATTCAATTCTCTTTTGCAGCGAACAAGATTCCGACAAAGTCGCTAGAATGCACCATCCGACTAGACCTCCTATCAATCGCCTGCCAGTAGAACTTTTACAACACATATTCTTGTTCGTCTTAAACAATGTCCCAGAAAATCCCAGTATATTCTCATTTGGAGACACATGCATCTCAGCCGACTTTGCCAGTCCTCCCCTACTCCTCACCCGGGTGTGTCACCTTTGGCGAGATATCGCACATTCAACAACGGCAATCTGGTCGCGCATTCATGTTGCACTTCCCGGCAGAATCAAAGCATTGAACCCGTTCCTTCCATCTCTACTGGAGATTTGGCTCGCCCGCTCAGGACGTCGCCCTCTCAGCCTTAGCGTCGTGTCCGAACAGCTCTGCTACTCGCGCGACACCGAAGCCAGATGCTTGCCGTGGCTCCGCCCATACAAATCAGGAGCGGATTGTCGACTACTCGAAATCTTGCTTTCTGTAAGGGGGCGTTGGGAGACAGTGGATATCATGTCACCTGCCATTTATGACTGGAGTGATAATGTTGATACACCTCGGCTGAGAACATTGAAATGTTTCCTGCGAGAGTACAGGAGGTTCAATGCACCGAATCTCCATTGCCTGCACATCTTCAGTCGAAATGATTTTCCTGCTAGACCTGCTCTTACCTGCAAAGATATACGTCATCTCCGCCTTCAACATACTTCCGTCAACGCTGTGCGCTTCACTTCAGTGATATTCCCTCATCTGGAGACCATGGTAGTGGATAATTATTCCCTAGGTTCTGGCGATAGAATTGACACTGTCACACAACCTCGCCTTGAATCGATGACTCTCCCCCTCACGTCAGATCGGCGGGAATTCATTGACATACTCGATGGGTTCCATCTCCCAATGTTGCAAAAATTGACTGTAGTTGTCGGAGAACTACGACCACTCGAAGTTGAATGCATTATGGCGGCTTTGGCAGTGGCAACCTGCCACGACCCGACAGTAGACTTGAAGATGGCCACACCGCCAAGCGAAGTTGATCTGGATATCGCTAAACCGTTACTCTCGGTCGCAAAGGAGGTTGCTGTCTGCGGAAAAGTGCTTGACCTCCTGGAAATCTTGCCTGGTCCAGAATAATGGTCCGCAGCCACTAGGAAGCACAAAGGAAGATTCTGTTAGACAGGTCTATGTATTGTAGAAGCTTCCTCTTCAATGAGCATAGATTGGCGATTCAAGACTTTCAAGTATAACACGAGGGTGTTTATTCAATCAAAGGCCAACACCACATGCGTTTGTTCTGGCTACAAGTGCCTGCGGCTATATTAGGTGACTAAAGCAATCGCTCCAGTCGCGGTGCCAGCAAGACGACACGGCAAAACGAGTACACACCTCGACAGCGATATCTATATCATTGTTCTTCAATACTTCCCATTGTCACGTCGTTTCTTGTTTTCTAGTAGTCTGGGGCTTAGAATAACGCCTGATATTTATCTCATCATACCATTTCTATCTCGTTTATTCAGTCATTTTTTGCTTTCCAAAGCCATAAGGCCCAGAACCCTCGCCCACCAGTCGGAGGCGGGCATCGAAAGGGAATGCCTGTGGGTCACAAACACCTCGGTATCGAGCAGCGTCTGCATCTCTGATATCAATGCGGCATAATTCACGTCTGGCTGTAGCACGAGCTATACACGTCAAGGCTGTATCACTTTCTCAATAGGAGGCGCCCAAACGGTCAGATAAACATGATTAGAACTATTAGCTCTGGGACGCTCCTCCTCTTGCAGTAGTCTCTGGTGACAATCCCGAAGGCTGCGGGACCCGAATTGATGTCACTTGATTGATGAGATTGATACCAAGTTTGCTCGACTGGAAAATAAGTCTTGAAAGGGAGAGCATTGAATTTGCGGGACTGCAGCGTGTTGATGAAGGATTAGTAGTAACTACAGCAGTATGATCGCGGACCGTGACGGAGATCTGTTGTTTTCCTGATGCAAACGACGGTGGGACTTGGGAGTAACGACCCGATGTTACCAGTATCTATTAGTCTCGGTTACCATCAAAATAAAATATACTTACTTACCATCCGCCATGCTCGCAGAACGGCAGAACAATGAGGCTGAGGATGAACAGGACCTCATCTGTATCGGCTGATGTATGAGGCCTGAAGATTAACAAGAATTTAGATTTTTCTGTGGAACCTGTGCAAAAGTTGCCCGCTGTCTGTGTATAAAAGCGAGGTGATCGCTGTTATGCCAATGAAAGAGAACATCATCTAACCCTATCCTTCGAACACGAAGCATCAATCATGAAGTACATCTCACTCACCATTATGATGATGTCTGCTGCAATGCCAGTACTGTCGGGCACAATTATAGCACGAGACGACCCCAATGGCAAGCCATGCGCCAAGGCTGGTGAATACCTTCAGCATACGTATTTTGACCTCAGATCGCATACTAAGTACGGGGGGGCGGGGGCTTGCAGACCAGTACGAGTGTGGAAAACTCGCGGGTTATAACGACGGCATTGCGTTTATGTTTTACTGTTCGAAAGACCACAAAATCACTGTCACTTCGTATTGCCGCTGTACGAATTGCTGTATCGCCAAGGATAACCATGGCGGGCCGTACCCTAACTGCAAAGTGTAAGAGAAAAGGGTGAGTCCGCTTCTTGTTTGCACCTGTAACTCCCACGTAAATACTCTTTTATTATAGGTGATAGTAGATGGGTTTCGCACCTCTTAAGGTTAGGCAAATTCAGCGGATCATCGCCTCCTTCAAGAATCAATATTGTTCGAATAAACAGGGACTTTTTTATATAGCTCTGTTACCTGTATCTACATATTATAAGAACGGAGCGATTTGCAATATGGTGTCGACGTGCGAGCTCCACTTTTGATTTGTATATGCTTATGTGTCGAACTGTGTATTATGCCTTTCAGCGCGCTGATTGTATTTGTCGAATCGTGTCTCTTCGCATCAAACGCTCCGAATCACTTTTCAATGCAGGTGCTGTTGTGCTTTGCCCCAGACTTTATCATCATACACAACCACCGTTGTTCATTGACCCCCATTGGACTACACCGCTTAGTTCGACCGTTCATCCACGTCAAGGATCATTGATCGATTGATCTTTCTACTCCTTTCTCGCTCCATGATTATCTCGCGGCTCTCGCCATGTCAACGCATCCTAATACCCCTCCCCATCACCTCGATCTCAAGGTAAGCGCCATATGTGCCGTGCAGCGGAATTTGTCTGTAGAAAAAGGCCGAGGGTTAGTAGGGAATGCGCGTGTACGCATCACCGTTCACGGCACTGCACAGACGTTTCGTCGAAGTCCAAACTCCTGCAACAGGCGAAATTCACTGTCTTCCATGTATAATTTTCACTTTCAGTTTGCCACGATCGAATTGGACTGTCAACCGCAGACAGTCTGCGCGCCGCATACGCGACGACATTCAATGGGTCGCAGGGCCTAATACTGCAACGTGCAGCGCTCGACCTTCGAACAGACGTTTTTGCGCTTGGGAAACTATACACTGCGATATCGAGAGTACGCAATCGTCGTGATATCAGAACGTTGTGGTCCGCGTCCAATGAGGAAAAAGAGACCGCGGACATTGCTTACAATTGTTTGTTGCTATAACAAATCAACCATGCCCGTCCGCAGGCGAGCGGACTGCTTGTACTATATAGGACCGGGTGCCGCCGACATATCGGCAAACACCGTCACTACTGACATGCATAAGGTCCCGAACCTTCGAGCTCGATGTGCGACGCGATGAGCTCCCACATCTTGATATCTCGCAACCAGGTGGACGTATCAATGGCGGGTTTTCTTTAACAATCAGTGGGCCTAGTTAGACGGAATGCGTGTAGCACACAAACCTGTATTTAATTCCCTTCGCTCATACATGTACTTATCTGAGTCATTATACTTCCTTTCCATTCTCACTTACCAACAGAGGTCCTCACCATGCTTTTTTCGTACCATTCCCTCTCAAACTCAATGGCCCTCTTGATCGTCTCTGATGTGCGCCACCCATGCTGTTCACCATCGAAGAAGTGGGCCTCGACATGCCCCTTATTTTTGATGACTCTATCAATGATAGTCCATGATTGTGCAGGCGGAACAACTTCATCATCATTGCCTTGAAGAACCTGTTGAAAACATGATCTGCCTATCAGGACGCAATTTCATCAACGCAAAGACTTACGAGCAACGGTGTTTCAATTCTTGCAGAAAAATACACTGGACTCCGGTCGTGATAGACATGTGGTATCTCTTCCTTCGTACCGCCGAGAAGCTTTATCATGTACATAAGTTCAAACTTGTGTGTATCGTCTGCAAGTAGCTCCAGGTTTGAAATTCCGTAGTTGCTCGTGGCACTCGCGAAAAGCTTCGTCTTGCTTGCCGCAGAAGAGGCGAGGGAAATGGAGGCAAGGACAGTATACCCTCCTGAGCTCCCACCGCGGATTGCAGTACGCTTGGTGTCGATGAGGGAACGCAGTTCGGGCGATTGGATTGCTTCAATGCAGTCGTTTACGTCAGCAATACCCCAGTTCCCTTTAAGGCGCTCCCTAGTCGCATCGTCAGTGCTGCTCCATATGAAAGGTGATGACAGACATGAACATACACATATGTGCGTCCGTAGCATGACGATCCGCTGTAGTTTATATCCAACCTGCAATCGATAAACATGGTGGTCCTATTACAGGGTGCGCCAGGACCTACCAAGCATATCCTCTGCTTGTGAAATACTGTTTCAGCCAGTTCAAATTCTGTGTTTCTAATCCTGTGGGGCCACCATGTACGCCAAGCACACAAGGAGGCTTTTCGTTTGGAATATTTGAGCCAGCGTACGTTGGGTTGTTTGGAGCATAGTACACGGCATACACAATCCTGTCATCCGCCAGTTTGAGTTCCAGAGGGATTGGAAGCGAAATGATACCCTCAGGGAACGGTGCTGCGGACGTCGATGCGGTAGATCTGAGTACCTGAAAATTAGGCACGAATGATGGACCGGTAAGAGTACAGAGCATGGCTGCGCCAGAGGCGTTGCTTCGCAATTCTGTGAAGACAAAGGTATAGTCCGACACGCGCCGGACATGTTCGACAGCTACAAAGTCAAACAATTCGTCTTTGATCTCCGTGTAGGATCCTGTGGTGATATCAACAACATACAGCACGCTTCGGCCACCTCGCCATGCAACACAGATGGCCTTTGTGCCATTATCGTCCAAGAACGCGAATGGGTAATTTCCAAGCGTCCAAGGTGGCATGCAGAAGTCTTGCTGCACAACAGACGAGAGGACTGGTTTTGTGTGCGCCTGAGTGCACTCCCACAGGTTTGCGAACCTGTTTCCCTCCTCGCCTTCGTCAGATGTGAAGAGAAGATTGTCGTTTGAGGCCCACAAGGGATAACACGCGCTGATTGTACTTGCGCTACCAGCTAACAGCTTCGTGTTGCTTAGGCTAAGTGTATGGGTTGCAGGGTTGTAGTGGACATCAGCCACGTAGAGCTGTCCTCCTTCCCAAGGCATGTCTGGGTGCTCCCAGAATTGCCACGCGAGTCTATCGCCAGAGGGGGAGAAGGTTGGCGCTGCATAGAATTCTCTGTGTGCATTCTCAGTGCAAACCAAGGACGTGACAGTTGTAGCTGTGGAATTGATAACGCAAAGAGAGTTGCGCACGGTCTGTGGCGTGTCGTCGGTATGATCTTCTAAGATTGCGACAAGTAGGTCAGTGTGGACTGGGTGCACAGAGAAATCTGCATAGCGATAAATCTTCTTCGGGTCCTCTGCGCACGGAACGTTAGTAGAGTGTTGTAATCCAGGATATTAACATAAACACCTGGTGTGATTGGTTTGATCTTCCCATCTTTCGCGGCATAGACCAAGAAGTCCGCAAAATTTGAAGAGTACACAGTCCCGTTATAAGCAATCGCAGCAGCTCCACCATACTCATGAACGCGCGTGCGCGCATTGAAGTCCTTAGCGAAGACTTCATTTTGAGTCTTGTTGCTCAGAAGCACGTATCGGCCACCTTCTGATGCACGCTGTTCAATGTAGTAGACATCCTTCGCGACTGGGTCCACAAATATGTCGCTCATAGAGACGCTCTACGGCGCAGATCACTTTTCAGATACTACCAAGGAAAGGATTTACGAAACATACATCCTCCGCGATAGCATCAGCTGTAATGGGGGACTCCCAAAGGCCATATGGAGCATATTCTCGAGACATGGCAATAATCGCTGAGAGATTTAGCAGATGGGACAGTCGTGGGGAGGAAGAGAGCGGAATCCACAGTCCCTGTTACATATTGATGACTTGAGTCACAATGCGTATGCACTCCGCAGCATTTAGAAATCAGAAGAATCGCTAGGGTTCCGGCCACTTCGAAAAGTAAGCACTGGCAGAAGTGCTACTAGTACTTATGTGCCAGGCTCAATTGCCGTGATGTTTGGTTCTAAAGGTCTCGACAAACAACGTTGGCCACTTCTCGATCATCGTCTACAAAGCTAACGGATTTTTCATTTTTTGGATTTCCGTTTTAGTTTGATGTCATTCCGCCCCACGCTTCCTTTATACAAGAAGTCGAGTACAGCATGGCTAGCACGACAATCTCGTGACCCTTTTGTCAAAGCGCGCCTCTCCTCACCATCATCCTACCGTTCACGCGCTGCCTACAAGCTCATCGAGCTTAATACCAAGTGGGGGCGCTTCCTCTCACGTGCTAGCACGCGCAGTGTCGTGGACCTTGGTGCCGCTCCGGGTGGTTGGAGCCAAGTTGTCGCAGAAAATTTCGGGTGGACCCTTGAGGCGGCAGACGATGCGGAAGACTTTGGATTATGCGAAGAGGCGAAGGTGCAGAAACGCGGTTCCTGGAGCACAGAACCCATGAACGAGACTACCAGGCGAGGAAAAATCGTTGCACTGGATCTGCTACCAATTAGGCCAATACCAGGTGTGCAGACGCTACAAATGGACTTTCTAGCTCCGGGTTCGGCGCGTGTTGTAAAGGATGCGCTGAAGAGTTCACGGAATCCTGAGGGTGCAGCGGATGTCGTGCTAAGCGACATGGCTGCGAATTTTTCGGGAAGCAAAATTCGAGACTCGCAAATGAGTTTGGATATCTGTCATGCAGTTTTTGATTTTGCAAAAGGCGCATTAACTGTTAGGACAGTGGATGAACGAGGGAAGGCATCCATCGGCGGGATACTACTGTATGTTCTTCATTGTCTGGAAAACGAGTTCAAGTTGCTCATATATATCCATTCTAGGTTGAAGCATTTCTCTCATCCATTATTGCAAGAGTTCAGAAAGGAATATCTAGAACCTAACTTTCACCTTGTACATTATATTAAGCCGGAGTCAAGCCGCGCTGGCTCTGCAGAAGGTTACTGGCTGTGTCGCGGCTGGCTGGGTAGGACTTGATCAATATCCTTGGGCAGACAGACCGTTTTCGACACTAATATTCATCGGTCGCTTCATCACAAGTCAAGTACATGGCGCATATCTATATAACAAGCAGATTGTAAAGGTACCGCAAGTCTGTTCAGCCTGTGGGGCCGAAATCTAACACTGTCAACTCTCCTCGATTCACACCTCCCCCCAGACTACAGTTCCCCATCGCAGGACTGGCTCCACAGTCAACTGACATTTTTCGACAACCCACATCTAGACTGATAAGCTATACAGTATATGCAAGCAACTCGCAATCGACTTATTCACTCCATCAGTTTGCATGCTTCCCGTCACTGTCAGGTACATGGCACATAAGTGTTCCTGTGACAAGAATAGAGTACATCATATTGTAGACCTAGCAAGTAACATTGAGCTGCAGTAACATATCACGCAAATCCTACACCAGAAACAAGCGCTATCCTCGGTCATCATCAACTGGTAACTTTCCGCTCAACAAATCGAAACTGCACAAGTAAGAATAAATATGAAAGGCTTATGCCCCAAAGCCGTAGAGCGTGCGCCCAGAACGCTTAAGAGCATACACAACATCAAGCGCCGTCACGGTTTTCCTAACAAATAGCGAGTCACTAGCGTGAGAACCATCACTGGGCACAGGAATTGGATTCTTACCTTTTGGCGTGCTCAGTGTATGTGACCGAGTCACGAATAACCTGCAAACAGTCAGCCGACGGCTCCACAGCCAGCCAGTGGTGGGGTGACTCACATTCTCAAGGAAGATTTTCAAGACACCACGAGTCTCTTCATAGATGAGGCCCGAGATACGCTTCACACCTCCACGGCGGGCAAGACGACGAATAGCCTGCAAAGCATCAGACATATGTTGACTGTGCATAAGATTAAGGACATACGGGCTTGGTAATACCCTGGATGTTGTCACGCAAAATCTTCCGATGACGCTTGGCACCGCCCCTACACAAGCCTAGTTAGATATGACACTCGCTGAGAAATATCGTCGGCACTTACTTTCCGAGACCTTTTCCACCTTTGCCGCGTCCAGACATTATAGTTTATGGTATGTGTGTGTGGTGTGTTAGATGAATAGAAGATGATCGCACTTGGTGGTGGTAGTGGTAAGAGGGTGAACAACGCGACTTCTTTGTTGATTGGCGTGTTTATATGTAGGCACGGGTCACGTGACCTCATCATCGAGGTCGCACTGTCTTTATACCAGTATTAGTACTTGTGGCCTGTGGCCTGAGCAGTGGCAGTGAGCACGGACCACCTTGAAATCTCGAAGTGCACGCCCCTACAATGTTTGGTGGTCACTGGGTCCGAGTGCACGAGTATTTTGAGCACGAAAACTCGAAGTGCGTTTTAGGGATGAATTTAAATTTCAAACGAAGCCTCTACGATAATTACAGAAATCTCAATGAGTCGACTGCCTAGGCTTCGATGCACAGTCCCCGCGTCCGCCATGGCCACTTCCTTTCGTTCGAGTCGGTCACCTTGCTGACTGGATAAGGTGGGTACGTGAATGTGATAGGCCGTTCTACAGACTCAGGGGTGTGACAGGCCGCAGGCGCAGTATTATTTTGAAGACGTAGTGGGGTGCGGAAAACCGACGATACAGCATGAGTCACCTGCCGGACCAGCGGCTGGTTTGAAATTCGTAGTATCCGTCTTCGACTTGAATCGTGTACCAGAGCTTCTTCTTCCTGCATTTGACTCACACGATATTCAGAGTTTATTTTTCGGATCTTCTTGTCGTGAAAGTGGGCTGGCTCCTCGTTGGCGGTGCGCAGCTTAATGTGGGACACGAATCGACGAATACGACGCGTGCGAGCGCTTGTCGTGGAATGGAGGTGCACGTTTGAGTCTTCACGGGTCAGAGGGGCTATACATGTGGACGTCAATGATACAGCCGACTACGTCTCGTCAGATAATTAGATCGCTCGAGGTATGGAGAAATATATTACCAGTTGCAACTCCAGGGACTGCAACGGATGCTGTCAGATCTGAGGTCCCAGATACATATGGTGCTTACTGAATAGATGTTTTGACAACTTCTCTCATAGTGAGGGTCTTCTCTGTCTTCCTCGTTGATTGATACATCCGCTTCCAACCTCTCCGAGTCAAATTGAGTACGTGGGCTCCGGTTTGTATTCTTCGTGTCTTTGGCCTGTTGAAGGTGATTTTTCTTGAAGTACCTGTAAACGTTGAGGGCGAGCTGGATAAAGACGATCACGATAAATAGCGTTGCATTCAGAGGCGTTTTGAAAACAGCAAGTGAGCCTCTGAAGCAGCGCCGCACGAAGGGCTGAAATGATGTTGAGAGGGTGACCGTGTGCACAAAGAGGCGTCCCGCGCGTTTGGGTTGAAATGCAGAAATGACTGTAAGCATAATGTAGAGTTGTGGCAAATTATAATGTAGCGATTAGAATGTATGGCGGGCAATCCTGCCAAGAAAGGTCAAAGAAAGGTCGAAGTTAAACTTTACATACGGTTGAGTTAAGCCGCAAGCGTAATCATTTACTGCGTCGTCGTGATCACGTGCCTCTGTTAATTTTGGTCTCGAACCTTTGCTTAGGCTTGATGCACTGGCACAAACTTCATTTAATACTATCAGCTCCAATCACAATTAGGTCCTCGAAGTATCCACACTGCCGATTGAAAATTTATATTTTGAAGTGGCCGGGGCATACTATGTGCTGCACTTTCATCAAGAGTCACTATCTGCGTCAATTCAAACGGACCGTTGACTGAACAATTCGTTCAGAGTTGGTGGTTGCTCAAAGGTCTATCACGCGAAAAAGTTTAAATCTGAGAGTAGGTATATGTTCCCCGCTGTCTCGTCCTGACGTTACTCTCTAGTATACACATATACCATTATCTCTTCCAAAGTACTCTTGCGGTTTGGCCTCCTCCTGCGTTCGCCTTTCACCAAAGGCTCCCACATAGGAAGTCAGCATATCTCCCAACGGAGAGAAATACATGCCAAAAAAATAGGAAACAAAAGAAAACAAAAACAAAAACAAAAAACAGAATAGAAAAAGTCTGATTCGGGATCCAACCATATCCTTGGGGACATTTAAGGTCCTTCTGAAGCTGGCGGCCCACTTTTTGATCGCTGCCTGCTTCTTATCATCCGCGACGGTGGCGCTGTCCACCTCTGTATCTCTTTCCGTGTTTGTTTCGGCAAATTTTGTTTCTGATCTCGCTTTTTTGACTTCATCTTCTGCGTCCTCTCTCACCCTTGCCTCTGTCGCTGATTGTGTCTGGACTGCATGCGGAAAACAGTCTGCACCCATGTAAGCTGAGTGAAAGATTATTGAGAACTGCGGCATCGTTGATACGACTGAATAGACTCACTAGCAAACCAGGCAACCAAGCTATCTCTCTCATCTTTGTCGCACGATTCCATCAGTAATCGATAGCACTCGAGTGCTCCGATGTTAGATGCCCGGAAGAGTATAAGGCAGCGATACTTGTTTATCTTTTGCCATAATGACTTAAGCATCCACCCGAAAAGCTGCAAAAAAGCGCAGCTGAGCACACTACCATCTTTGAGTCGGTTGTATTGCATCAACGTACCACGTCGAATTCTGTATACACGGAGATGTCCATCGTTTCAAGTGAGCAGGCAGTGGCAATTTTGATGGCGGTAGTGATGTACTCGATGGCCTTGTCGTGAATGTTGCCCTCCGAGCCAGCGAGTGCCATTTCGGCGTAGAAGTATGTCTGATGCGCGAAGCGCAGAACAATCAGTCTCAATCTGAGTCTCACATTCATGACACGATCCGGAATTGATACTCACTTGCACGACATTACAAGCACGAAGATCAGCATCATTATTGAGAGAAGCCTCAGCCATGTCTTTCACGTGCATGATCGCTTCATCATGTTCATTTGCATTGAATAATGCAATAGCCTGCAAATCATGATGAAGCACGCAGCATGTATCAAAAATGAGACCCACCTTGATCAAAAAAAGAAGATGGGATGTTGAATCTCTACTCGCCAACTGCAACGCACGATCGAACGCTCTACTCGCTTCCTTCATCTGTTTCTTTCCATAGAGGGCGATGCCCTTCAACATAAGGCCCAGCGCTGAGCGTTGAATGTTAACAGACTATATCGTGATACAAGTTAGTATATCTTAAAGGGTTCAGAATTAGTCGGCGTAACTCCCCTTGTCCGCATCTTCAAGCGCGGCATCCCATTCACGTAGGCGTACAAAAACAATTGCACGGTGTACGTAGCATGTGTAGACGCTGGCATCTACCGTTATTGCTTCTGTGAATATCTTCACAGCCTTAGACAAATCGGACAAGTTCCCAGTAATGCACGCATTGAGCTCGGCCTTGGACATGGTGTTGGCAATGTTGATCTGCGGTATGCTCGAATTTGCATTACGAGAGTCAATAATGAGAACATGCCTTTCTGATAACATTATCCACTGGAGTCTTGGTTAATAATCCGCGAGATGAGATGTACGAAATCATGAGAAATCAACGGAAACATACCAACACCGGCCTCGAGGGTAGTAGCCACTGCGATGTCTTCTGCCAGTGGTCATCGCCTACGCTGAATACATACTGGCCATCCACGGAGAACGTGTCACAAAACGCGCCGTCGGAAAGCTTGAGTACGTTGGATTGAATCGGGAACGGCCAGAGACGGACACTTCTGTCACGAGATGTGGATGTGATAATGGTGTTGGACTCATTGACAGAAATGGCGTTGATCTGTTCGGCGTGACCACGGAAGGAACAAATCTCGTTCCCTCTCGACGCATCCCACACCCGAATGGTAGGATCGTCTCTACTGCCCCCTGAGAGAAGGTGCGTTCCCTGGAACGTCCACGTGAGCGTGAAGGTGCCACCTGAGTGACCGTTGAGCGTTTTGATAAGTTGCATATTTTCTGGATTATAAATGAAGATATTTTCAACTTGAAGTTGTTCCGTCGCGATGGCAAGATATTCGCCGGATGACGAATACCGAACGCAGCATACAACTGCCAGTGCATCAGGACTCGGAGTGATTGCTGCTTGTTGCTGCCACGTAGTTGTATTCCAAAATTTCACTGTACGGTCGCCCGCGCTCGCCAGAGTTGTTCCATCCGCAGAAAAGTCCAGCGATAAAACCGCAGTGGACTCGTAAGCTACGATGATCGGAAAAGCGGAAGAGTAGATTTGAGCAGTGGACCCGTTTTGGGTAGTGATCTCAGTGGTTTTAGCATGAAGGAGACAATCTCCAGTTTCTCCGTCCCAGGGAATGATCCCTCCAGTGACATCACAGCTTGCTATCAATCTCCCGTCTCGTGATACCACAACTTCAAATACATCACTGGGGTGCCCTACCAGACGTTTCAATAATCTTTTCGTCGTCAATTCCCACAGATAAAGTGTATCGTGGACCCTCGAACTGGTGACCATACGCCGTGCGTCGGGCAAAACTACAAATGCAGATATGCATTCGTGATGACCTTCAAATGTTTCCGACAGTTGTGGTTCGCTCGGCTGCGACGCCATTTGACTGAAGGACCGAGGTTAGTTACAGTTCAGGAGAACTAGGCTGGTAAGAGGAACTCCAGATATCGAGCGCTAAGGTGTGTTCGGGGTTCGTTAGATGCCGAACATCTAGTAGGAGGCACTTTTAAAAATGACACCAGCGCAAATCCCCACTATTTCCCAAGGCAAGACCGTGACGCTCCGGCGCTCCCTTCCTGGATAATTATAACTGCACTGGCGGGTTACATTTTGGAAATTAGCAACCAGCGCTTACGAAGGCCTTCTTAAGGTGTCGAAGTGTATGGTAGTCGTGGAGTCTCGTTGCGGAGAATCAAGATGCGGAATGTTCGATGTTGAAGCACTGGCAGCTGTAGAATTGATGTATCAGTCCCTATAGCACAACGAAAGTTGTATACATCGATGTTATCATTCATACTTAGTTCAACTGTAAGTCTGTAACCGTATTTATGGCCTGGAAGGGGGGGTAATGCAGCCGTACCGTGCACATGCGATTACTAGTCTCGTGGACCAACACCTTGTCTGAGAAGGGAATGTGTGACAAGGCGTCTGGAAGAACTTTCCTAGGAAGCAGTAGAGTACACTTTAAAACTCCGTATATACCAAAAATGGTACCGTGTTGCGCTTCTAAGAAGTTGGTAGCTCATGACAAGAGGTGTGCAAAAGGAGAATCCCGAACACAGAGCTCAACTTTAGATAAGCAAAAAAACCTTAATGCATAGCCACCCGAACTTTCGCAACATGCGTTTTGAGTTTCTCACCAGCGGCCTCAAAAGCTCATAAAATCGTTTGGCGAGGACCGTAAAGGGGGTGTTTTTACTACTGTAGAATAGGTTTAGATAGTTATTTTAATGAAACATGCCCATCCAAAGATACTACCCACTAAACGAAACATCTTGGATGTGATTTTTGAGGACACGTGACTAATTAATATCAATATGACGCGTCAATATCGATTCGACACGTCTCGTCAACGACTCGCATCTCTCCCTCCCTACACCTCATTTATTATGTATTCTATGACTCAACAATATACCTGTTACGACTCATGGTTTGCTTCTACTAGTAATAACGACAACAGCACTGCATACATTACGGACCTCGAGGATCATTCATATCAAACCACACATTTCGGATCAGACTGTCATTCTCACGGACACTCTTTGAAGGGCATGCAGCTTACTGAACTTGAGCAGGCCAGCGCAAACATTCCGAAAGAGAAATGGCAGCCATTCAGCATACCTAGGGATGGGCATGACAAGGAGAATGTGGTCCCATCCACTTCTTGTGCATCCAAATGCTCTGCCCCATCTACCACGGCACCCCGTGCTTCCAAAAAGGCTTGGACCAATCTTGCAAATGCTCATTCTGCTGTTTCGTTGTGCACTTGACCTTAGGATGTTGATTTTACTTGTCATTGCCTGTCTTTATGCTTGCTACTTGGAATGTCTTATGCACTGCTATGCTCTATTGCTACTTGTTCTGTCTTACACATCCATGCACGCACACTTGTTTTACATTGCATTCTTGTTCTGCTTTGGTTACAACGTCTTTGTACTGAACTACTTAATATGGTTAAATTGAGTGATTGGTCATGTGGTCACGGTAGGCGTAGGCATTGTTGAAGTTTCTGAGGTTAGTGTCTTGAACTTCTCAATTGCACACCTCTTGGCTCATGAACGTGTCTGTGAGCTGAATATGGTGGAAATCCTTGGAAATCTGCAGACATTCACGGATGTCATCGAGTATGTGTTCAGGAAGGGTGGCTGATGCAAGTACAAATGGTACATTGGTTGGTACACGAGCACTCAGGACTCCAAGCTTGGCATAATCTGGATGAAAGCTACCACCCCAAAGGCTAATGCAATGCACCTCATCAATACAGACACATCAAAGGTGAGTTGAGAATTTGCTCTTCAAAAGGACAGCATCTCGAAAATCTCTCGAAATTACAATCTTGGGGGAAACATTTATGAAGTGAAATGTCCTGGAAGAGACATTACATGCATATGAGGTGTAGACAAAAACTGAAAATTATATACCTTGAATAATCTAATATCTCGGCCAACTTTCACAATGACCTCACTGCAAACAGCAACTGAACTCAATGCATGCTCGGCCTGAAACAATAAGTTTTGAATACAGAATATGGTAAAAGAACTGACCTGGTCAATCATGAGCACCGTGAGTGGAAAAATAACAAGCCCGATGTCTTGCTCATTCTGCAATAATGGAAGTGAGAAACAAGGTATCTGGTATATTTTGCAGGAGTCCAGCAGGATGGAGAGGACACAACATGTTCATGAGCTTCTTAGAAGTGCGACGCAGTACCATTTTTGGTATATGCGGAGTTTTAAAGTGTACTCTACTGCTTCCTAGGAAAGTTCTTCCAGACACCTTGTCACACATTCCCTTCTCAGACAAGGTGTTGGTTCATGAGACTATGCAATTACAGCTGATGGAAAAATTATAAAAGCGTCTCAGAAACGCCTGAAGTATGACCAGCTGACCTTCGAGCTGTAACTTACATTGCAAGCATTAGGCTCATGCTCATCCATACTACTTCGCCACACACTGACACATCAGTAAAACCTCAGATTTATTTTCTTCAATAACCCACTTTTCTTGCCTTGGTGCTGGCGCTAAGGCATAAAAATTAATACAAGGAGTGATAACTTGATCTTTCCAAAATTTCTCAAAGGTGCAAAGGAGCGGTCCATTGGGTTTGCCACACAAAGGAGAGAAAATACATATTAAGAAAGAAAATAGTATTATAAATTCAAATGGTGTACAAGTAGCTAGATCAAAATGCAATCTCAAAGACATGATGGTCAGCATATTTATTCATGTAGTAGGTGTGGAATGCATCATAGGAATGATAAAATTTGAGCTCTGGAGGCAGAAATTCTGTGCCATACACGGGAATCAGATGTGCAGCGCAATAAACGGTGTCAATATGAATGATCGTGTACTCAGCAATATTGTTTGCACCCTCTCCTGGACAAACCACCCACATTCCCATGTCTTCGTCTGCAGCATTGCCGATTTTGTCAAACCAGTGAACCACAACACAGGGATACACTTCGCCCCACTACTGGAATGAAAAAAAATGTGTGAATGCGTGCAACTTCGAGACCTTGAATGCCAGGTAGACTAGAGTCTGTGCTGACAAAGACACAGTCGTTGTGTGAATGCCCACTTCGCCAGGAGGGACAAGAGCGGATGTGTTCAGTGCACATGCCACCAATACCACTCAAATCGCTTGGCGCATAAAATCATGATGATGCTGAGTTGAAGACTGCAATTTTGCTGAGATAGAGGGGGCATTCAGCAAGAGGTATATTGGATGGATCACAGGGATCATCTGGATGTGTCTGTTAAAATAAGAAGCATCTGAGAAGGTCAGATAGGTAAGGAATATCAAGTTCATCAGTGAGTTCAGGAATGGTTTGAGCACAATTTTTGCCCTCTGTACAGTATGTTCAGTATCACATTGAAAATCAGGAAAAAAAAAAGGACACCTATGGCGGGTTTTTGCCAGCTGCACAAATGCTTGTAGAACTGTGGGCCCATCATCTATGTTGAGGTCCACATCAATGTTGATCAAGGGAGGTGGAGGTGGTGTGGGTATGGGTGGGGCAGGCACAGGCGCATGCATATCTGCTGCTGCTGCTGCTGCTTGAGCAGGTGCAAGTGCTGCTGCCCCCACATCTTCATCAACTTGGTTGATCTGCGCAGGAACTGACTGTTATGCAAATTAGTTGAAATATATATCCTAAGAAATGTGTGACTTACCTAAGGAATTGGCTGCTGAGAGACAAGTGCCAGTGAGCATCCCCTGACACGTGAAGTCGACTTGCAGTGCTGAAAGTTTGTCAAGCCATTGATTGGTCAGTAATATCTGACCAAGCACATTGAAATGGCTCAATTGTCACCAGGGCTCCTTGACTGCTGTAATGTGCTTGTTCTCCATGATTGATGAGCAGAGATTGTTGGGTGCAGCAAAGAGTCCAATGTTTTGAACATAGTGCATGAGCAAGTGTTGATGAGGTAAGGGGAAGTGAAGGATGACACCTGTTGTCCTGAAGATTTCACAGTAACGGTGAAAATGAGAGAGAGCATCTTTGATTTGAAGTAGAGAGTCTTCAGTGATTATATTGCGACGGACTAGATAACAAAAATCCAGAAGTGCACAAAAGGTGTGAACAACGTCTTAAGGTACATGGCCCTTGATAGCAGGTAAATAGACCTAAAGGATTCAATATTAGGTAGTAACAATACAAAAAATGATGACTCACTTTCATTGAGGCCTTTGAGTCATCTCCTGTCCACTGCTTGAATCTGCGCCCTTGAGGAAATCGTCACAAGCCTGAAAATGAGGTGACAGCAGCAATTCTATGGCAATAAGAAAAAGCAAGCAATCTGAATACAAACTGAGCTCACCTGCAGTCAATATCATCCATAATTTTCCGTGCCTTTCATTTGTTGTGTGTCTGACGGAGGTACTTCTCAACCCATGTCATGAGGTGATCCTTGAAGGTGCCTTTTATAAGTTGATGGAGGATATCTGGTGATGTCATTTAATAGACATTGGCTCGGGGAAAGTTGTTTGTGAATGGCTGTTGAAATAGTATTAGTTTTGTAAATGAAAATGAGAGAAAAACACTGAATGGCTTACCACAAGTTGCATGACTATTCCGAAGTCTTCCCAAAGATCTCCTGAGGGAGCTTCTTCAACAAGTGCCTCTGTATATTTGTGGCTATGGGCAGTGCATCTTCGTCAAGATCTTCATGATTTGCAACACACCTTTAGAATAAAATGAGTGACCATGTAAATACATATTAAATGAAAGACATATTTTGGACACCAATTACAGACAATGCATGCTAATAAAACTTGCTCTTTGTAATCCGCTATGTAAGGCCCTAGTCCATATATGACACACCAGTAGTGGCCATCTCTGAAATGCATTACTTTGGGAGTCATCATGCCTGGCTTGAACGGATCAAGAATTTTGGAAAGGGATGAATGGAATAACTGTCGATGAAATCTTCGGAACAAAGGTTCTTCAGCATGTTCCTGCATAGCTGTATCATAGTTAGTCAGTTATAGAAATAGATTGCAGGGTTGAAACATACTTTTTGGCATTGCCAGGAACCCAATGATGGCCACACCATCACGATGCGCTCTTCAAACATTGAGCCCCTTCAGTGACAAATTCCGTATTATACGGGTCACCCGACCTACATAATATCCTGTATAAGATGGGCCAGCGGACTATGGGCCAATGTTATGTATATCCCCGATGTTGACGGATGAGCTGGGAGGGATATTATTTCCAATGGAGACGGGTGGGCCCATCTATGCTGATATTATATATATCCTCGAAAATGTCAGGTGGGCTGATGTAATGGTTTATTGTATAGATGGGTGGGCCGAGGGAGTGGTGGAATATGTATTATATAGACGGGTGGGCTGACATACTGGAATTATTTTGTAGACGGATGGGCCAAGGGAGTGGTGGAATATTCATTATATAGACGGGTGGGCCGATGGAGGGGGATGTTATATAGATGGGTGGGCCAATGGAGGGGGATGTTATATAGACGGGTGGGCCGATGGAGGGGGATGTTATATAGACGGGTGGGCCGATGGAGGGGGATGTTATATAGACGGGTAGGCCGATGGAGGGGGATGTTATATAGATGGGTGGGCCAAGGTAGTGAGATATCTGTCTGACATTCACAGATTACTGAGTCCCAGATGCCCAAAAACCGAATCCCATTGTGCAACATTCATTCTGGACACCCGAACACCCCAAGCTCGAGACTGGAAACTGGAAACTGGAAACTTGTGAAAATGTGTGAAATTTCTATTTCCTTACACCAAACACATGAACACCTGAACACCAAAAGCCTGAAGCTTGAAAGTCCATTTATCAAATCACCGAGTGCTGAGTGCTGATAGACCCGAAGCCTGAGACCCAAAATCCCAAGCCTGGAACTCAAAAACATGTATGCAAAATGTCCATTTTTCATTCATTGCACAAATCACTAAGTGTCAAGTGCTGAAATCCAAAACTCGAGACCCAGTACACAAATCACCAAGTACTGAGTGCCGAGGGCTGAACCCCAAAGTCCGAAACCTGAAAACATGTATATAACATATCCATTTTTCAGTCATTGCACAAATCACCGAGTATTGAGTGCCAAAACCCAAAACTTGAAACCTGGTATGCAACATGCTCATTTTTCATTTACATTAAACAAATCATTGAATGCCGAGTGCCGAGGCCTGAACCCCGAACCCCGAAAATATGTATACAACATATCCATATTTCCCTCACTGCACAAATCACCAGGTGTCAAGTACCAAAACCTGAAACTTGACACCTGGTACACAAATCACCAAGTGCTGAGTGCCAAGGCCCGTGCCCCGATGTCCAAAGCCCGAAACCCAAAGCCTGAAACCTGAAAATATGTATATAACATATCAATATTTCACTCATTGCACAAATCACTGAGTGTCGAGTGCCAAAACCCGAAACCCGAAGCATGGTACAAAAATCACCAAGTGCCAAGTGGTGAGTGCCAAGGCCTGAACCCCAATGTCCGAAGCCCGAAACCTGAAGCCCGAAACCTGAAAATATGTATACAACATATCCATATTTCCCTCATTGCACCAATCACTGAGTGTCAAGTACTGTCACGAGTACCTTTAACAAACCATTATTCTTTCCTGAATCTTCCTAAGCGCCAATACACAGCGCCTAAGTCAAACCCTAACCCTACCCTGAAAGCGTCTATCATTCCTGAAATACCTTTAGCGCCCACAACACGTGTCTTCGATGTGACTGATGAAGAAGACGAGTTCTTTGATTGTGAATAGATTAGATTAGATACGATAAGATAAGATATGGTCACGTGATGCTTCTTTAATATTCTACAATGTTCTATGGTACGATTCCCTTTCTCTTTTTATGATTGGCTAGTAGTTGTAACTCAGTTTCAATCTCCTGTCTCAATAGTTGTATATAGGTAGCATGTCTTGGTCGATAGTTCCTTAGTTCAAACCTCTTGTATCTACACTGTAGCAATCCAAGACGTACTTGCTCCTCTCTCTCTTGTCCGATAACCTTAGATTGAGTCCTAGTCTCTGCCCAAGCGTTAATTCGTTATTGGGTTGTGACATTAGGTTTGAACTATAGGAGACTCCGACTCTTTGCACACCGCTCGCACATCTCTCATCATCATCACACGTTTTCCATTGCCCGACCTAAACAGTCGCGACCACTTTTCTGAAACCCATCCTTTGCTCGCTTGAGCTTTTTACGAATAGTCTTTTGTAGTTAGTAGTCCTATACCAGGCCCTGCCTTACATTGCAGCCGCCAGTATACGGAGGTGTTGACGACATTAGGCGTCTCGCTACAACTTTGAGTGCTGGCCCAAGACCCTGCCTGCTCAACGTTACTATAGTTGCTTTCATACCTACATCTTTCTTCATACGCACGTAGAACCTTTCGTTAAGTCTAGTGGAACTGTCGCATCTGCGGATAGTCCTACCATCGTTACCACGAGGATTTAGATACGGGATTCTAGTGAGACTCGCACTTGTAAGCTTCGGCTGGAAGAGTGATAACTTGTCCTAGACCTGTACCCTTTCGGTGACTGAGAAGTAGCACACACGAAGCACACAGTGTTTTTCCCACTTAACAAAGCATAGCTTTACGTACTCCTTTTTAGTTAGTAATTAGGGAAGTGTCAGTCGGGTTGACTAAAGAACCCTTTGACCCTAAAGGACGAGGTTGATCCAGTTAGTACTGGGGACCCCTTTAGCTTTCCATTTACGTATCCTTTTTCCCTCTCCCCTTTCATCATCTTTCCTATCCGGAAGAGCCGTTACGACCCGCTCTTCAACAGTCATTAGTGAATCGGATTCCAGAACGCACCTGGCACTATGGCTGAAGTCAACGAAACAGAAATGGGACCGGAGAACCCTCAAGAACCCCAAGAGGAACCGGGACCACAAGGCATTGCTATGCCAATAGAGTTCACCAACTTACGTACAGAGTGCTATTCAAATGGCAACCCACGAACTGTACGTAAGGACACAAGAACTCCTCAACCACAACAACACTCTTCGAGCACAGAATGCGACTCAAGAGCTTCAACTCAGGACCCAGAACTCACAAATAGAGGAACTGAAGAAGAAGCTGGAGAGATTCGCACAATCTCCAAACACTTCACAAGTCAAATTGTCGAAGCCCACAGAATTCACAGGAGACAAAGATTCGATCTCCATAGAAGTCTACACCACTCAGTTGGCATTATACATGTCACAATGGCCGTTAATCACAGACAGG